GTGGCCTGGGAAAGCAGTAGAGGATGTCCCAAAGCCTTGAGACCGGGCCCAGCATGGTAGCCTTGAACACGCCAGGATCCCATATGGGCACTGGTTCCAATCCCGGCAGTCCCACTTCCCATCCAGCTCCCTGCTTGTGGCCTGGGAAAGCAGCCAAGAACTGCCCAAAGCCTTGGGACCCTGTACCTGCATGGTAAACCTGGAAGAGGCTCCTGGCTCCTGGCTTCAGATCGGCTCAGTTCTGGCCATTGCAGTCACTTGGAGAATGAATCAGCAGATGGAAGATCTTCCTCTCTGTCTCTCCTCCTCTCTGTATATCTGACTTACAATAAAAATCAATAAATCTTTAAAAAAAAAAAGCCTCGGAACCTTGCACCCACACAGGATACCGGAAGAAGCCACTGGCTGCTGGCTGCCTTTAGACTGGCTCAGCTCCAGCCGTTGCAGCCACGTAGGGAGTGAATCAGCAGACAGATCTTTCTTTGTTTCTCTTCTCTCTGTATATCTGCCTTTCCAATTAGAAAAATAAAATAAATATTATTTAGAAAAATTTTAAAAATGCCTCTTTGCTCTTTTTCAAGATTATTTTGGCCATCCAGGGGCCCTTGATATATATAAATATAAATTACAAAATATAAAATTATAAAATATAAATTCTGGATGGATTTCTGCATTTGTGGAAAATTGAGATTTGCATCGAGGCTGCACTCCTGAGATTGCTGCGGGCAGTGATGGGCTTGGGTCTGCTCTGGTTGCAGCAGTCTGTGATTCAAAACACACAAAAGTTCCAAGGGGCCATTCACAGCAAAATACTTCAGTTTTGCAATTTAAACCACAATCACGGAACTACTGTTTTTCACTTCATATCTGTTTTTGATGTTTATTTATTTATTTTATTGTTTGTCTTGTTCTTTAAGTAAAGAAACGATCACCTCAGGAATTGGAGACAGAAATTGGCCTGGATAATAAGTTGTACTATAATCAATTGACTCTTGAAAGGAAAGAGGTTCCTTATCTAAATCTTTTTATTTCCTTATTCTCAGTTTATTTCAGAGAATGTGCAAGGGAGGCGGATGGAGAGAGGCCTTCTATTTGTCGTCTCGCTCTTCAAAAAAACCATCAGCAGCTCTGGTTCTCGGAGGACACACAGCCATGGCCCCTCCGCAGGCTCGCCTCCTTGCCTCTGCTCACCCCAGCGTCAGGCTTCCAGCTGGAAGGCTGTTGGCAGCTTGCAGCTTGCAGGACGGGGCAGATCCCCTTGCAGCCCTCAGCGCGGCTCAGCTGTGGCTCCGCTTCTAGAGTTCCACCGCCACCGGGTGCAGCTTCTGCAGGCTTCGCCTCCCGCCTGCTCCGATCTGTGTGTTAGTGTGAGTGTCCACCCCCTCCACCCCGTGCCCATGGGCTGCAGGCCTTGTCGCCCACGTTTTAGGTTACTAGCTAATCAATTATGGTTGAAAAGTTAATCCAGTCGTGGTGTCTGACGGCAGAGCTGTTGGGAAGCGGTGAGAAGGGAGAAGGCTGCTAGGGCCGAGCCCTGGTGACCACAACGTGGTGACCTTCTCAGGAGAGATCACACGGCCAGGGGCATGCGTGCTGTTGGTGTCCGTCCTGGCTCAGGTGTGCCGCCTGCTCTGCAGGCATCCCCCCACCCCCCACCCACATCAGCGTCCACACCAAAGCGGTTTCCCAGTCTTGAACTGTGAATGAGTGAGTCAGGAGAAACCTCCCTCCATCGGTGGCTTACATGTAACTAAGAAGTCATCTTTCAGCTTCTATACCTACAACAAACGCGGGCTAAATCTCTCGTCTTGCCTTTCACCACCCCGGTTCCCTCCAAAGGCTGTTGGCCGAGCTGTATGTTGGCTACCATAGGATCAAACACTGAGTTCTGTGTCCTCCTTGAGGTTCGAGTGACAGGCCACGTGCCCAGCTTTCCTTGGGAGGACAGGCATTCAGAGGCTCCTCTACAGACGTTCTTTTCTCAGCTCATTCTTTCTCTCAGTTGCAACTTCTTTATTGGCTCTCTCTCTCTTTCCTCTCTCCCTCTGGGACACCTCTGTGGACAGACAGATGGGAGACTGGCATTCCCCACCTGCTGTAGGAGTCCTGGAGCAGACACGGCAGGGAGGAGCGAGCAGGCTGGACAGCCAGCAGCGCGAGGTGATCAGCCCCCTCCTGTGCAGGTTGACAGCACGGTCCTAACACCTGCGTAGTTTCCTGTGCCCTGGCCTTTTTGCATGGTTATAGAAAAGATCATCAAATCAGACCATTCCGTACAGGTGTTGCTGGGTTTTTTTAGAACCTAATCCTGCCACCGCAGCGTTGACCTGGAGCTTTAGAGGTCTCCTCTCGCATGCGCTGGGATTTTTACTAGGTTAGGACTTCGGCTAAGAACACGTTTCCCATTTTATTCCTGGATGCAGGGGCCAAGCAGCCTTGCTGCTGTGGCTCAGGAAGGCAGCGCCCACTGCTGCCCTTGGGTTTTGTGCCTGCGAGTCCTCGTGTGGAACAGCCACATGATTTGTCAGTAGCTCTGGAGCTGACCGTCTAACTACACCCTCTTCCAAGTGAAGCCTTCTCCGGGCCTGCCTCTCCTCTCCCCACCTGGGTTTCTCCTGGAAGGCCTTCTCTGGCACTCCGCTTTCCACTTCTCTGGAATGAGGCTCAGTCAGTGGGGCAGGGGGCAGAGGTTGAATCTCAGCAATAGGCAGGAGGGTATAAGCAATTACCTGCCCTGGCCAGTCAGGACAGCATTCCTCCAGCCTCACATATGAAATACGTGGGGTAGCTTTTGCCAATATGTTCTGTCCAGTTTTTCCTGAAAACGTGTGGTCAGTGACCCGCTGTGCAGTCTCACAGCGCTGCCACTCACAGAGCTGCGAGATCGGAGCGGCTCCTTTCCTCCTAACCGCTGTCGCTGCGGTGTAGGGGCCAGGGGCTCTCCGAACAACACGGAACTTCCACTGCAGTGGACACAGCGTCGCTAGAGCTTCTCACCTAGTGTTGTGAGAAATCATGTTTTTAAAATGTTCACAGCAAGGCTGGGCACGATGTCTCAATTGACTAACCCTCCTCTTCCAAGGCACAGGCATCCCATGTGTGCGCCGGTTCATGTCCCAGCAGCTCCACTTCCCATCCAGCTCCCTGCTTGTGGCCTGGGAAAGCAGTCGAGGACGGCCCAAAGTCCGGGACCCTGCACCCGCAGGGGAGACGAGAGGAAACTCCTGGTTCCTGACTTCAGATCAGCTCCAGCCACTGCAGCCACTTGGGGAGTGAATCAATGGATGGGAGAGCCTTCTCTGTGCATCTCCTTCTCTCTGTAAATTTGCCTTCTAATAAAAACATATAAAGTTTCTAAAATGTGCAGATTAGTATTAGGTTTCCTAGAGTGGCTACAAAATCTCCCAGTCATCTTACTATAAGTTCACTGAAGAACTGCAAGTACGTGACAAAACACATCACTAGGGGGAGCACCCGGGTCAGTGAGGACCAGCACCACGGCTATGGGAGCACCCAGGTCAGTGAGGACCACCACCACGGCTATGGGAGCACCCGGGCCAGTGAGGACCAGCACCTCGGCTCTGGGAGCACCCGGGCCAGTGAGGACCAGCACCACGGCTATGGGAGCACCCGGGCCAGTGAGGACCAGCACCACGGCTCTGGGAGCACCCGGGCCAGTGAGGACCAGCACCACGGCTCTGGGAGCACCCGGGCCAGTGAGGACCACCACCACGGCTCTGGGAGCACCCGGGCCAGTGAGGACCACCACCACGGCTCTGGGAGCACCCGGGTCAGTGAGGACCAGCACCATGGCTATGGGAGCACCCGGGTCAGTGAGGACCAGCACCATGGCTATGGGAGCACCCAGGTCAGTGAGGACCACTCTGATCTCTGTCAGGAGCCTCCCTGAACCCTACCACACCCCACCCAGTGGGTCTTCCCTGCGCTGAACCTCAACCCTACGTATCACCCCATCAACACCCATCACTGCACCAACACTCCGATGTCCACACACTGCCCTCCTGAGAGCAGGCCTCTAGCATGGTGACCTCTGGGCCCGGGAGCACCCCAGCCCTGGACACCCCACTAAGTCACAGCTCAGCTGGGAGCCGCCTCCCCCTCTAAGTGCAGCTGATGCCGCCCACATGGCCCTCCTCAGGCTCCGCTCGGGGACAGGCAGCAGTCTAAGTCCCCGTCTCCCGTGGCAACAGAGCAGTGAAGCATATTTCACCATGTACGTGTGGATTTCAGAGAACGTGTATGAAGGCGGTTCAGAAGGGAACTGGGCCGTGAACGGCGAGAAGGCTGAATAAAAATAAGAGCTTGGTGACGCTGCCCTGGCATTAGCATGGGGTTTTGGCTGCAGTCAAGGCACTTCCTCTAAGGCCCGGGCCTCGCCACATCCTCTGTGGGACACGCATGTACACTGCACGGCTGGCCTGGCGGGGGAGCCGCGGGGGCGCCGGGAAGGCGGGGCGGGTCCGCGCGGGTCCCGAGCCCGGGACTGCCCTGCGGCTCCCCGGCGCCCCCAGACCCACGCCCCGGCCCTCAGACCCGGAGCACCGCAGGCCGCCGGGGACCGCCCGGAGCTGGGCCCGCGTCACGTGTGCAGGGGCCCCGTGAGAGGCCGCGCGCCCCGCCCTCGGCCAGCCCCGCCCCTCGGCCAGGCCCCGCCCACCGCCGGGCGCGCCCCGCCCCTCGACTCCCGCTCCTCAACCCTCGGCCCTCGGCCAGCGCCCCGCCCCTCGGCCAGGCCCAGCCCCTCAGTCTCATTCCCCCCACCCCCGGCTCCGCTCCCGCCCTTCGCCCCGCCCACCTGCCGGCCCGCTGCTTGCAGCCGCCGCGCGCCTCTCCCAGGCCCCGCCCCCGGGCCCGCCTCTTTGCCTCGGCCCCGCCTCTCTACCCCGGCCCGCCTTCTGCCTGGCCCCGCCTCTCCGTCCCGCCCCCTCGCCCCGGCCCCGCCTCCGCCCCGCCCACCCGCCGACCCTGCTTGCCGCCGCGCGCCTCGCCGTGCTCGTCTGTCCGCGCTGCCGCCATGCCCGGAGGTCTGCTTCTCGGGGACGAGGCCCCCAACTTCGAGGCCAACACCACACACGGACGCATCCGCTTCCACGACTTTCTGGGAGACTCGTAAGTGGCCGCGGGGTGGCCTGGGTTCGGCCCGCGCCTCGCGCCGTGCGGCCGGGCCTGGGCGCGCCCGCTGTCCTGCCCGCGGTCACTGGCCGGGCCCGGTGCCCGGTGCCCGGGGCCCGGGGCCGCGCCGCCCTCCCAGCTGCCCTCGGCCTGCAGCTTTGCGCACCGGGGCAGCCGGGCGGCCCGTGAGGCCAGCGGAGGGCTGCTGCTGGCCGCGGCCTCTGCAGGGGAAGGGCGCGGGCTGCCCAGAAAGTGACCCAGAGACCGCCCGGAGCCTGCCCGGCTGGCCGCGATGTGGTAACGGCTGGGGAGGAACCAGGAACCGGCCTGTGTAGGTGTGTCCGGGGCACGGAGGTGCCCTGCCCGCTAGGCCTGGGCCGGCCAGGGCATGCGCGCCGACCCCTTTGTTTCCCGCGGCCCTGCTGGTGCGGCCCAGCGGGTGGCCGGCGCTCTGGCCTGGCCGGTGCGTGGACTCTGCTCCTGTGCAGCCCACTTGAGGGTGCAGAGTTGGCACGCGGAGGCTGATGGGCCTGTGCAGTTGCACGGGCAAGCTTGCAGGCAGGCGTCCACGCCCCGCGCCTCCGCTCTGCAAACTTTTCAAAGCACAGTGGCCAGAGAGGCAGAGAAGTTCATCAAAGCAGTGCTTGAACAAGCCTGTGCTGGGAACGTGGGCCAGAGCCTCCTACCGCAGGCCCACTCTGCCCCATCTCAGACCAGGGAACAGTTAACCTTGGAGGAATAGAATGGAAAATCAGTGAGATGGAACATTGAGACCTTGAAGGCAACGGAGTGTGCAGAAGCAGAGGTCGTGGCCAGCCTCCTGTTCAGAATCTAGATATTAGCGTTTCTCCAACCCTTGTGGGCCTTTCAGAACATACCCGCCTCCCCCACCTGCAGCTCTCACCGCCCGGAAGTGCTGACTGAAGGTGGGAAAGCATGCTGCAACCCCGAGCGTGAGGCCGGGGTCCTTCTGGGCTGCCGTTTCTTGGCCTGGGATCCCCCCCAGGAGTGACTGAGAGTGGTGCCCATCAGGGAGCCATCTGGAAGAAGAGGGCCAAGTGTCTGCTTCTGTGAGCGAGTAACACGCAGGCGTGTCTAGGGGCACACACAGTATAGAGAGGACGGTGGGCTTCGGGGGCTTGGTGGGCAGGGACCTCCTCGAAGAAGGCTGGAAGGCGTGGAGTGGTGTAAAGTCATTGAATTGCTCTTAAGAGCAGCAGTAGGAAGACTTGGGAAGAAGGCAGACCAAGCTGAGACATTCCTGGGGTTCAGCCCCTTTCTGGCCATGTGCTGGGTGGGTGTTTGACTGCCCGGTGGCTTAGTGCCCACTCCGTGGCACGGGTGAGCGAACCAGACTCTGTGGCCCACACCGAAACAAGGAATTTCCTAACTTGCTTCCTCTTTACCAAATTCCCGGATCCACTTTTTCTCTGCTTTGGTGGAGTCTCATCTCACTCTTGCTTAAATCCTTTCTGAAAACATCTAAGGCCCGGAGCTGGATAACTTGCCTCAGAAAGTCTGCGTCCCGCCCTGGCTCTTCATGTAAAGGAACCTGTTTCTTTTGTCTCGGGACTTCCGCCCTGTTTTTCAGTCTTGTCTCAAGAAGAAGGAGGTTCCCTTGTTATCTGTATTGTTCTTTTTGTGCCAGAGGTCAGCGTAGTGTCCAGGCTAGATCTACTGGCTTAGGACACCCCGTAATTGGTGTGAGTCAGTTGAGGGTGTGGAGAACTGAATGTTAAATGGAAAACTAAGCATTTATTTTCTCATCAGAAGCCCATATGGGTCTGCAACCCCCTCACCTTTGTGATAAATAATATAATTTTTTAAGAATTTCCTGTTCAGTTGAGAGAGCATTTGTTGTCAAGGAGAAGTGGCCCTCAAAGTTTCTTAATGACTCAAAATGTGCTGCAAATCTGTGTGGTTTTAGCCTTAAGAGGATGATGAAGCAGAAATCTGCATTTATCTGAGCACCTGCAGTTAGAGTCTATTACAGCTACCGAGCAGGAGCTGGGTGGAGCCACCCAAGTGTTCTGGGTTGTTAGGGCGCAAACCCTGGCTGTCCTGTTTGCACATTAGTGCATTTGCAAAAGGTTTTATAATAAAGCCAAGTGTCAGCTGCAGTTTTACTTGAATCAGAGAGGTCCCTATGTGGTTCGCTTACGTCACCTGTTCACTGTTGCAGGCAAATGTGCGCTTGGACACAGCACACATTGAAACATGCCTTGTCAGAGCTGAGCTTCGTGGTCTCTGCCAGGAAAACACACAAAACAGAGAAATAAAAAGTGACTTCACCAAGCTTTTGGCTTGGGTAGCACACAGATTTTATTAGCTAGAAGGGAGTCAGTCAGGGTGACTTGTTCGCTATTAAAAGAGACAACACCCTAAAATTGCTATTTTTAAATGCCATCTTGAATTTTGTATCTTTGAATTGGGCTGTAAACATAGGCCTCGCTGGAGGTAAAACATAAGCCCTCCCCAGTCAGTGGCTTCCTAAGCATTCATTTGAGAAAGTAAACCTTTTTTTTTGGTTTGCTTTGCTAGGAATTGTGGCTTTACAACTGCGCGATGTTGGCAGCTCTTCATCAGCTGTGTCCTTTGTTTCAGATGGGGCATTCTGTTCTCCCACCCCCGGGACTTCACCCCGGTGTGCACCACAGAGCTCGGCAGAGCTGCGAAGCTGGCCCCGGAATTTGCCAAGAGGAATGTTAAGATGATCGCCCTCTCAGTAGACAGCGTTGAGGACCATCTTGCTTGGAGCAAGGTACAGTACTGTGCACCTGGCCTTTCTGCTGGTGCAGCCTGTGGAGTCTCCAAAGGGATGCGTATGTCTGTGTGTGCTAAGCCGTCGACTGGCTGGTAGCCCTTAGCTGGCTTCAGCATTGGGGCTGATCCAAGGAGGGCGTGCTGAGATGACTTCCAGCCTCTGAGGAGGAGGAGGGTATGAGCTTTTCGTCAGCAGGCGGTGCATCTGATGAGGCTTCCACAGGTATTCCAGCACTGGCTTTGAGGAGCTGCAGGGTCGTTGAACCTGAGCCATTGCTGGGGAGGACTCGGTGCTCCCTCCCCTCTGCCCACACGTCCACCTGTGGGTCTCTTCATCACCGGCCATCCTGACAAGCCAGTAAGTGCGGCCCCTGGGCTCTGAGCCCTTTGGAAAGCTGACGGAGCGCCAGAGGGCTCGGGGACACACTTGATGGCCAGTTGTTCAAAGCACGAGTGTGAAATTCCCTAAAACTTAAGAGTGTCATCAGAGGTGGGGCCAGTCCTGTGGGTCTGGGGACCTCAGCGCTGGCCCGGTGGACCGTGTGAGAACTGGATTGAGTTAGGTGGCACCCGGGTGGTGTCCGCTTGAAACTGATTCATTGTTCCACATGCCACAATTACAAACTGGCTAATTACACATAAGCTTGGTTCTTGAGGTCTGAGTATACCTCGGGTTTAAGGTTTAGAACATGACCTCCGCATTGTGAAATGCGCCTGGCTCCGTCTGCCAGCAGTGTTCAGCTCAGCTATCACTTTGGTCCTCTCATGGCCTCCAGGACACCGTGGCCTAGCCGTCCTGCTCAGGCTTACCCTGATGTTTTATGCTAATTTATAGGAATGTTGCCCCAAATTTATTCTTGCTCTTCTCTGGTCTCTGCCCTCTTCCACTGACTCAGTCCATTCACTCCCATACTGAACTGCTGTGTAGATAGACACTGGTTTTCAACCCTCCTTCTCTAGGCCAGTTCCTGGGGTTCCAGGTTGGTGTGGCCACTGCCCCCTCTGACTGTCCCTCGGACGCCCAGTCTTCTCACGCCTCACCTGCCCAATCCCAGAGTCGCACTCCTCTCAGCCAATGCCAGCCTCATTTTTGCAGTTGCTCAAGCCAGAACCAAGGAGCCATTCCTAACTTTTTTTTTCATGCCATATGTCTGGTTTACGTATCCAGATTCACCTTCCAGATACATGTGTGTGGCTTGCCTGACAGTCTCCGCTCAGATGACAGCTATGAGGCTTACTTGTAAAGTGCTGGCAGCCTTTCGGGTCCGAGTCCCCAGCAGCTACCGTGTGCGTGTTGCCTTCTGCCCATGAGTGTGCAGGCTGAGCGCGAGCAGAGGCTCCTGGCTGGGCAGTGCTGCAGAGTGCTCAGGACCTGGCTCGTCTTAGGTGGTCGGTACTGCCGCAGGAGGGTGTACCTGACAGCGAGCGTGGTGGTCCAAACCTGCCTTAGCAGCTTGCTTTTAAAGGTCATAGCCACAGTGTGTTACTAAGCAGTGCGGCTGCAGTTTGAGGGCTGCCTGTGCCAGGCTCTGTGTCAAGTGCATGCAGCTGACTAAAGGACAGAGTAGTACAGCTTAGTCCTTATTGTCTCAGATCAGAAGATTGTAGGAGGAAAAGGAAAGGCGATCTTTTGTGGGGTAGATTTCTCTTTCATTCCTTACACTTGGCAGTGGATGGAGACCAGCATTTCTACAACATTCTCACACACGGTTTCCCCTTAGCGGCTTAGCGAGCCCTTGAGGTTAGGCGTGTCAGCTCTGCTCTCGTTTCAGGGATGAGATTATGTGTTTTTTTTTGTTTCACTCACAGAGATGGAGGGGTTTGCCCAACATTGGCCAGCTAGAAAATAATGGCAGTGTCATTTGAACCTCAAACTGACGTACTTGATACCAGGCTGGGACCTCACCCGGTCTGGGAGAGAAGAAAACGCCGCAGTGGTGCTGAGCCACGGCTCCTCTGTGTTGGTGAATAGAACAGGGTGGAGAATCACTGCACAGCAATAATCAGAATTACACTTCCTTATGGGAAGACTTCATAGCCAATTGCATAATACCTCCTGAGCAGTATCAGTGTCCCTAGGTACATTCTGCCAGGTGAACTTCCGCCCTTGAAGTTTAAAACATTGTGTCAGCAGAACAGTCCATACACTGTCAGGTCAGAAGCAGTGTCCCACTCCTGACGCGCGCTTAGCTCATGGGACGATGCGGTGTCCATTTGGAAGATGTTTAATGCCACATCTCTTGCTGCGAAGCCCACCCATGTTTCATATCTTGTGCCATCCGCCCGCTGTTTCACTTCCCAGGCTGCACATGATTAATAAAATACTTCCACTTGCAACTTTAAATCATCTTTTCCTCCACTTCCTGAAACGGCCAGCCAGGTTTTCACTTTCCTGTAATTGTTTCTGCTCTGACTAGCCTGCATGGCTCATGGATACCATCGCGACCCCATGTGCTGCTGTGCTGCGCAGGCCACCTGCGGTCCTAGCCAGCGCTTGCTCACACGGTCACACTAGGTGACACGCTGGCTGCCTGCCGTGCTGCGTAGGCCACCTGCAGTCCTTGCCAGTACTTGCTCACACGGTCACGCTAGGTGACACGCTGGCTGTAGCGCAGTTTCTTTTTAAAATTTTTTTTTTAAGATTTATTTATTTTTATTGGAAAGTCAGATGTACAGAGAGGAGGAGAGACAGAGAGGAAGATCTTCTGTCCAGTGATTCACTCCCCAAGGGGAGGAGTGGAAGAATCCATCGCCCTAGTTGGGAGAACCCCTACTGCAGTTCAGAACCAGCTCTGTCTTCTGGGCTTCGCCGGGCCTGCCCTCCATCTGCCTTTTTACTCCTCTGTCCTTAAAGTTCATACTTAGCTCCTTGGGTTGTTCCAAGTCTTGTGTTGGGTTTTTGTTCCTCTTTGATTTCTCAGTGTCGATCTTCCAGTTGAGTATCTGAATCCTGGTGCTTTGGAAGCAAAGATAACATCTACAGAATTTGCTTTGCTCACTGCAGTATCAGGCTTGTTCTAGAACTGGCAGCATTGTGGTGGCTTTCCCAGCGTCTGAGCACCCAGCACCCTGTGTTGGCATCTGGCTGTGCCCACTTGTGGAGCAGTGCTGTTGCGTTCTGCAGGCAGGCAGCACGGAGGCGGGAACAGGACCTCGAGCCATGCTGGTAGACCGAATGCCGACCCTCCTCACCCTCCTCGTCTGATTCCTGCAGTGAGCCCTTGGGAAGGGAGTTTGTTTTCTTACTGAAATTGTTCTCAGAAACATTGATTCTGTTCATAAGCCTGTTCCCTGACCCGGAAGACATACGTTGGTAACACTGAGAGGGTCCCTCAGCCTCGCGGTTCTCGTTCCGTGCCTTTCAGGATATCAACGCCTACAATGGTGAGGCTCCCACAGAAAAGCTGCCTTTCCCCATCATTGATGACAAGAACCGGGACCTGGCCATCCTCCTGGGCATGCTGGACCCGGCAGAGAGGGACGAAAAGAACATGCCCGTGACGGCGCGCGTGGTGAGTCGGCTCGGGAGCGGCGAGGGAAGCAGGCCAGTGGAGGGGTTGTTTATTAGTTACAGAGAGGGAAGGAAAGGCAGAAAAGCAGCTTTCGAGCACTGACACGCTCTCCACGTTGCCCCAGCAGCCAGGTCTCCCACACGGGCGTCGGGCCCAGGTACCGGGCACTCTCCCACTGATGTCTCAGCTGTGTTAATTGGGCTGCAGCTTAACGCCCTGCGCCCCAGCCCCTCAGCCAGATTTTTTTTTTTCTTTTATTTATTTTTTATTGGAAAGTCAGATACACAGAGAGAAGGAGAGACAGAGTAAGATCTTCTGTCCGCTGATTCACTCCTCAAGTATCTGCAATGGCTGGAGCTGCGCTGATCAGGAGCCAGAAGCCAGGAGCTTCCTTTGGGTCTCCCATGTGGGGTCAGGGTCCCAAGTCGAGCTATCCTCGACTGCGTTCCCGGGCCACAATGCTGAAATGGAAGCAGGGCTGCTGAGATTAGAACTGGAACCCATATGAGATCCTGGCACATGCTAGGCGAGGACTTTAGCCACTGGGCTACTGCGCCGGGCCCAGCCAGATTTCTTAATGCCTGATTTAGAGCTCTGGAGATTCAACAGAAAAATCAGCAGCTTTTCCCAAGACAGACTCTAAAACTGAGAACACTCCTCTAGCTCTCCAACAGCCCTTCATCACAGTGAGCCGTTTTTGAATCCTTCTCAACTGTGTCTTCTGCCTGCCAGAAACCAAACCCAGGCCCAGGAAAGTACGGCCATTTGAGGACAGGCATCGGTGCCCTTTGGCACTGGTGTGCGCGGTGTCTTCCCAGGGCCTCTCCTGAACAGCCAGCCCCAGTGTGATCCCCTTGTGTGGAGAGGGCGTCTGCTCCGGCTCCCCGGGGAGGTCCTGGGTGCTGCTGTTTGTGGGTGAGTGCACAGCTCCCTTCACGAGCCCTGGAGACACTTCCTGCCTCCCCGTGCCTGCAGGTGTTCATCTTCGGGCCCGATAAGAAGCTGAAGTTGTCCATCCTGTACCCAGCCACCACGGGCAGGAACTTTGATGAGATCCTCAGAGTGGTTAACTCTCTCCAGCTGACCGCAGAGAAGAGAGTTGCCACCCCGGTGGATTGGAAGGTACGAGGGGCCCCAGGGTGGGTCCCCACTGGCCTGGACAGCGGCCTGTGGGGTCTGTGCTGGCTGGGCTGGGGCGAACCCCCAGTCCATCAGGAGCAAGTGCGCGTTCTCAGGGTCTTGAAGTACAAACTCCCTGTGTTGCTTTCCGAATCCTACAGAATTTGGACAACTTGTTTGGTCAGAATCATGCCTTTTGTTAATACAAGGGGATTTTTTTTAAAGCCTTTTGTTAGTACTTTCCAGATAGCAAAAGCAGAATTGATCACTTTTCCCAAGTTGTGGCTGGAAGGCTATTGCCATATTAGCATCGTGAAGGATTTTATTTCTCTTAGGCTTCTGTCTTCTTTAAATTTTCCCAGAATTCTGTGAAATGCGAATTTACAATCCGTGGGATTGCTTCATATTTTTTAAACATGCTAACCTGAATATGAGGTCTTACTGGTTTGTTTTTATATGTTTTATATGTTTTTCTCCAATAGGCAAATCATGTAAGTTCTGTGTCCATTAACTGAGTCTGTGTTTACTGAGCCCAGACACTGGGGAGACGCCAAAACGTTGAAATACATGCTTAGCTTTTTCTTTGGATTTAGCATCTAATTTATTTATTTGAAAGCCAGAATTAGAAAGCGAGGTCTTCCATCCACTGGTCCACTGCCTCATTGGCCAGAGCTGGGCTGCTCTGAGGTCAGGAAGCAGGAGCCTCATGCAGGCCTCCCACGTGGGCGGCAGGAGCCCAGGCACTGGGTGATGGTGCCCTAGCAGGGAGCTGGATCGAGGTGGAGCAGCCCAGATTTCACACTCGTGCATGTGTGGGATGCCACTGTCACGGGCAGTGCTCTGCCCACTGCACTAGCTTGTGGGCCCTTTGTAAACTTGAAGACACTGCGCGATGGAGTCCCTGCCCTGCAGAGCTTGGATCGGTAGGTGGTCTGATGAGCAGTGATTTCAGGAGCTACAAAGAATCACCCAGCAGAGTGGCAGGGCATGGGGACGCGGGAGCGGGAGTGTTGTGTTCTCTGTGGAGGCATGTCTTTCTCCCAGGGAGGAGACAGGTGGCCACACAGTGCCCGCCTGAGGAAAGGGCACTCCCAATGAGTGCCCTTCACGTGAACTTGGCGTAGTAGTGCTATGGAAGGGAGGCCTAAACAGCAAGAGGTGGGGGCGACGGGACAAAACGTGAAGCAGGGGATTCATTAGCGCAGGATGGAGTCAGAATGAAAAGGTAAATAAAGGACGGTGGCTAGCCGTTGCTGATTTCAAAACAAGACCGTTTCATACCAGCAGGTGGAAAAATGGGCTCTGGGGAAATAAAGAACACTTGGTCATTCTCACTGGCTGCCTTTCCGGAGTTAATGTTTGAAGATCTTTAAGCTTCACCGTAAGATTGAATTTCAACATTCTCAACTTCTCCCAACAGGAGGGAGATAGTGTGATGGTCCTTCCAACCATCCCTGAAGAGGAGGCCAAAACCCTTTTCCCCAAAGGAGTCTTCACCAAAGAGCTTCCGTCTGGCAAGAAATACCTCCGCTACACGCCCCAGCCCTAGAGAAATCACGGCCGGGGCTGCTCGTGTAGCACAGTGAACCGCAACATGCCAGCTGCCAATCATGTTTTCCTAACAATTCCATGCAAACATCTCAGTTTAATCACCGCCTGGGTCTTTAGGTCACCGTACTGCTGACTTATTAAATGAAAATGACACTCAAGTACCTTGGGCTTCTTTACTGTGTGACGTCACCAGCGTTTGTCCCGTTCCCAGGCGTCAGCAGGCTGAGCTGGCTGGGCCCTGGGGAACACGCCATGTGTGTGAAAGCTCCCGTCTTGGTGGGTCTCTGCTGTTTGTGATCAATGAATAACATCTCTTGATTGAGAAGCCTGCTTCGCTCCATCCTAGGCTGACTGCTGCTTCTCTTAACTGTTCCTCTCTTCTGCTAACCCATTTGGAGAAAAGATCTCTGTAAATATCTACAGGTACTACCTGGAACCCAAGAACTTAGGAATTTCACTTGAAAGTTCTTTAATCAGTGTTTTAACCATAACCGGAAGAAAGATTGACTTTGTGTACTTTTCTAGTAGATAACTATTTTTAAAAATGGGGGGGGGTGGAGTGGTTGAAATGGGATCCATTTTCAGTTCAGGGAGAGGTTGGAGCAGAGGTGCACCACCCACCAGGGAGACAGCCAGAGCTGTGTCTAATGCCACGTGCCTTCCACACGCATTGTCCCCTTGATGTCATTGCACATGGAAGGGCTCACAGCATGATTGATGGACAGTATTTTATTACAGGACTCTTGCAAGGGGTTGCTATTTTTCTGAACTTTGCTTTCTGGAGATCAGCAAATAAAATTCTTCGTTAAAACCGGATCACAGAATTCTCTTGTCACACTTTGAAGAACTGCTGTGCAGTCGTGTCGCCAAGGGCAGAGGTGTCCTTGTTACTAGGATTAGCGTGAATAGGTTTCTCAGAAGACACAACCCTGTGATTTGACGCACTGAAAATGGAGAGGCAGCTGAAGGCTTCCCAGGCTCGCCTGCTTCACGTACTTCTGAGCCCTGAGTCTCATGGTCTGTTCTTGGCCGATACCTTACTGAGATGGCTGGGGCATGCGCTGTGGCACAGAGGTTAAGGTGCTGCTGGGGTTGCCCACATCCCGTACCTGAGCGCCTGTGTTCAAGTCCAGGCTGCCCTGCTTCTCATCTAGCTTCCTGCAGAGATACAACTGAGGCAGCAAAGGTTAGAGCGAGGACTTGGGTCTCTAGCACCCACGTGGGCTCTGTGCTCTTTGAGCGCAGCCACAGCCGTTAGTCTTGGGGATGAATGGTTTCTCTGCCTTTTAGACAAATCACTAAAATTTCAAACTATCGCTCCTTTGTGCCTCGAGTTTCCCTGTTTGTTGATAAAAGAATGAACCTTAGAGATAATGATCGCTTGCTACAGTCCGAGTCCACTTGGACTGCTCTGATGCAAGTTGTAGACTGGGTGGCTTAAGCGACAAGCGTTTCCTGCAGTGCTGGTCATTGAGTGGCCTGCGGGTCCGGGGTCAAGGCACTGACTGCTGAGGCCTGCCTTTCCCACAGCGCTGGTCATTGGGCGGTCTGGGAGTCAGGGTTGAGTCGTGGGCAGTGGCGGCTGAGGCCTGGTTCAGCATCTGTGGACAGCTGCTTTCTCGCTGTGTCCTCAGGCTGCGCAGTCCTCCATGAAGCTGGCTCTTGCAGAAGTCATTTGCAGTCCTTCGCCTTCTCTGGCCCCTGTGGGTCCTGAGAGCCTGGTGGCCTCGCAGCTCTCTCTGCTGTCAGGGACACACTGCAGGGATCCTGCAGCCACTGCTGTCGGGGACACACAGGCAGGGATCCTGCGGCCACTGGCGGGGACACACAGGCAGAGATCCTGCAGCCACTGCTGTCAGGGACACACTGCAGGGATCCTGCAGCCACTGTCGGGGACACACAGGCAGGGATCCTGCAGCCACTGCTGTCAGGGACACACTGCAGGGATCCTGCGGCCTCTGCTGTCAGGGACACACTGGCAGGGATCCTGCGGCCACTGCTGTCAGGGACACACTGCAGGGATCCTGCGGCCACTGCTGTCAGGGACACACAGGCAGGGATCCTGCGGCCACTGCTGTCAGGGACACATGCAGGGATCCTGCGGCCACTGCTGTCAGGGACACACTGCAGGGATCCTGCGGCCACTGCTGTCGGGGACACACAGGCAGGGATCCTGCGGCCTCTGCTGTCAGGGACACACTGCAGGGATCCTGCGGCCTCTGCTGTCAGGGACACACTGCAGGGATCCTGCGGCCTCTGCTGTCAGGGACACACTGCAGGGATCCTGCGGCCTCTGCTGTCAGGGACACACTGCCGGGATCCTGCAGCCTCTGCTGTCGGGGACACACAGGCAGAGATCCTGCGGCCACTGCTGTCGGGGACACACAGGCAGAGATCCTGCAGCCACTGGCGGGGACACACAGGCAGGGATCCTGCAGCCACTGCTGTCGGGGCCCAGTGGCTCTTCTTTTCTATTTCTCACTGCCACAGAGTAAAGGAGATAGTAACCTACACACGACTCCAAGTTGTTCTCTGACCTGTGAGAATTGGAATCTGCTTCACCTGGGCCCTGAGCCCCAGGCATAAGCATCAGCTCACTCTCTAGACAAGGCTGAGCCAGCCGAAGCCAGGAGCTTTGGGTGGGTGGCCTCTCAGGTTGTCCAGGCTGTGTTCCAAGTCACAGATCCGACGGGGACTGGTGGCTGACGTCACCACCACAGCGCTTCCTTCTCCCCATGTGTCTTTCAAAGCCTTTTTGAAATAGAGTCAGCCATGAAATTTGACTTTAACTTTGAAAAACAAGATGGGAAGACATCAGAAAGCACTACACAATATAAGAATGTTAATTTTTCCTAAACTTGGTTTCCAATAACTCAGAATACAGAACATAGTTCTATTTTTCAATATTTACTAAAGTGGGTGGAAAGAATAACCGTACTCTGAAAAGTATGAGGGAGAAACTAATTACAGCAGTTTCACAAATTAAAATGGCAGTGCCGTTCTCGTTGAGCTGCGGTAATGGACTCGCATAACTCACTGCCTGCTGCAAGCGAGGTTGCCTGTGCTGTGCCAGGAGTGCTGCGGGGAGCTTATGTTACCTGCAAGAACTTGGAACATTTCAAGTATAATGCAACTGCTGAAAACGGCAGGTGTCGACAGTCGTCTTCCGATCGCTCATAAAATAAATATAGCAGTGAATGCTTCCAGAGCTTCCGAGCAAACTCCTTGCCAGGTGAGCCCTCCCCGGTCGAGCTGGGGTATGAAGGTGGACATTAATTTGACTCCACCCCTCAGGGAAGTACGATGAATCTTCTTTTCAAAATGGACATACAGTAGCCCAACTGCAAAAATTAAAAAGAAAAAAAAAAGGCAAAAGTAAAAGATTATGAGCATTTCAAGAAAACCTTTTAACATGTTGAATGAAAGAACGTGTACCAATGAGTTTCCATTCAATTGCCTGCAAGTCCTCCCGTAGCGGATCTGACATATTCCAGGTTTTGAGGGATCCCTTATAATGAACCACATGTGCACCTCAACACTGCCATCCTGCAGAGGGATGCTAAGGTAATTCAGTAAGCCTATCAAAGGCGTGCTGAAGGAAAAGAGAAATCCAACAGTGACCTTATTCCAGAGTAACTGGAATCTGCGTCTTTAAACAATGGGGCCTGGAAACAGTCAACAGGAAACTCGGTGCTCCCACTCCCAATTCCTTTTCCCTTGTGAAATGGGATTCCTTTAGTAAGAGAGAGGATGATCCCAGGAGGACTGCCCAGAAAGAATCAAGCGGCTATTACTTTACCTTCTGTCACTGGGGTGAGTTTCCTACCCTGTGTGCCCAAGTGCACGAGCTGCAGCTGGAAGACTTTTCTCACCGCTGGCATCTTGCCATCTGACCTGATCTTATTTTAGCCATGTGCTAAAATATTCTAAAATATGCTAAATATGCACAGAAAGGAAAAGCGAATCACATTACCTCACCTTTGTGGTTATTTTCTCTCCCTTGTCATTCGAAGACCAGCGTCCACCGAGGCTAACCAAGCATAAGGAACAGAAAAGCCACGTCAGGAATTGAACTCTGCCTTCTCCCTGTCAGCCCCCCTTGCCGTTCCCCTCTTCCGATGGGCTCCTGACTTTCTTCTCCTGGAGCTTTGCAACAAATGTCCAACACAGGAACTGGCCAGCTCCAGTGCAAATCAGCACATCACACAAACACAGCCGTGCTGTCCCGTGGCCTGTGCCAAACCAGACAGTAACTATTGTCCCAGGAGCCAGCTAGTGCCCGGCTCTAAGCGCTGCCACACACAGCAATGAGAACTGAGTACTGGCCAACCGTCCCACTTTCTGTGAAGACCTCCCTAGATTTATGTGTCCATTCACTTGAAAGCGCAGAGGGCAAGAGTCTGAGAGGCAAAGATCCCCCTCTGCTACTTGTCTCTGAGTGCCCAGGGTCAGGGCTCGGCCACACTGAGGCTAGCAGTCAGAATGCAGTCCACACCACCTCCGTCAGCAAGTGACGCCACCGCTGGACCTGCTGCCTCCAGCATCAAACTGTCATCAGAGTAGAGCTGGCACTCGAACAGGGCACCCCGGCACCACAGGAGGCAGCTCCCGGCCGTGCCAAAGGTCTGCCCAAACCACTCTGAAAGTGTGAAACTTTGTATTTAACTCAGAAAATATGAAGGGTGGCAAAGCTAGAGTACAGTTTGGACTGCTGTCCGAAGGCCTACTCTTCATGACACGTGTCTCAGATCTACTGGGGACTAGAGTGTGGTGTGTTTCCTTCAATCTCAAAATGATTCCAGAGGGCTCTGTGAACCTAGGACTGATAGAAGTCTTTATTCTACTTGCTAGCCATGCTTAAGATCTCGGAGTCCCAGCCCCAGGTGCTATGGGGGCCGACAGAGGACCCTGAGCATCCCACCTTGCTGCAGCCTCTCAGGTCCCCAGAGGGCTCTGGAAGCAGTGGAGCACATGAGCTGAAGGACTGCGGATTGAGGAAGGGTAATCTCAGTGCTCAGCTACCTGGACACCAAGGAGCCCAGGAGCACACGACACTCTTGGAGTTGTGGAGGAGCATATGAGCCGAGCCCAGGACACGAAAGGGGAGCCCCGAGCAGATCTGAGGCTGGGGCAAGCACTCGGCACAGCACTTCAGACACTGCTTGAGACCCCCTGCGTTGCATGCTGTGGTGACTGGATTCACGTCCCTGCTGGTTCCGGCTCCAGACTCCTGTTCACTCACGCCCAGGAGGCAGCAGGGTATGGCTCAGGCTTGGAGTCCTGTCGCGTCCCCTGCTCCTGCTTCACAGTGGCCCACGGCGGGCACCTGGGAAACAGCCCAGCAGGTGGAGGGGCTCTCCGTCTTCCTCCCTTCCTCCCTTTCTTTCTGCCTTTCAACTAAGAAGTAAATAGATTTGAAATCTCAAAAATAGGTACTAGAATGTTTTTAAATCTGAGGTTGTAATTGTTGGTAAGGGCAAAAACCATATAATCACTTATTCAGTGTCTATTCCTCCCACAAGAGCTGCAAGCATGTTCGGTCCATTCACTGATTAGCACTTGAGATCATCCCAAGCACACAATGGGGTTTCATTTTATAAGAATTATACCAATGGGAGACAATAATGTATTAGTAGAAGCTGTTTATACACCCAAATTGAAATCATGTAGATTTTACCCTCAAATTAGCAATTCAGTATAAACTCCATGATACCTAAGCTGACTGGGGCCACTTGAGCGATAAACAGGCTGGTTCAAGTTTCAAGCTACGAGACTCGGAGAATGTTCATGCTGGGCTTGACGGAATGGGGACTGAGCACTGCATGGCGGAGCCTGAGGACATTTCTCTGGAGCAAGGCCTTCCTGTCTAGTTTTTCTGCATCTCCTTCAGCAGCGGGTGTACAATTGGATGATAATAAATGCTTGGTGGCTTTCAAAGCACACACCCGCAGCAGGGTATCTGACCTAGGACTATGAGCAACCATGGGTCAAGTTGCTGATTGCAAAACACTTGCATTCCAGGTGGGAGAGATGATCCTTTCCTCATTGCTACATCGTCTGAAACACCAACAGCACTCAGCAGCTCCAGCCTACCACGGCAGAAGGGTGAAGCGTGAAAGTTGCTCTCCTGAAGCCTCTGATCTGATGGATGAGCTCAGGATGGCAGACTGCCTGGGCCTAGAGGCGGAAACCAATGGGAAGCCCACACAAGGCCCTCACCAACACTTGGAATGGAAGGAACCCGGCACGTGTGGAAGTTCCTTCGCAACAGTTTTCTGTTGGCCAGGAGCTGTCCCTTACCCCCGAGGTTGGTGTTATCATCTTTGTCTGGATCCGATGCTTGGATTATCAGCAGTTTACTTAAATCTGAAGCTCCCTGGACCTAGAGGGGAAGCATCAACATTAACCAAAACCAAAAGATTCCTTGATTATTAAACTGCCTGCTTCCCAATCTTTCTAAAGATGATAAGAAATAAAGCAAAATATTGCACTAAGTCTTAACCCTAAGATGCACCTTTTCCATTAGCAATCCTCTCTGATGTTGTTTACCGGCCCAAAAGCAGGGAGCCTGATGGGAAGCAGGGCTGCTGGGATTAGAACTGGTGCCCATATGGGATCCCGGGCGTGCAAGGAGAGGACTTTAGCCGCTAGGCTACCGTGCCAGGCCCTGCATTAAGTCTTACATGCAAAGATGCAGCTTTTCTCTCAGAAACACGCTCTGATGTTGTTCACAGGCCCACATCTCAGACAAGTCGATTGTCCTGCACATTTACAGGCACCACGGAGGAGAGCCCCAACCTGACTCCCCAGCATCCTTTTGGTCACTTGAACTCCAGCCAGAGTTTCTGTCCCCCATGCTACAAAAGCCACCTCTCAGAATACAATTAGCAACAAATGATCGCTACCATCACGTCTCGAACCACATCATGTCACTTGAACCTCCTAGCCTGATGAGCCAGCTGCTCCTATGATCTCCATCTTAGTAAGGAGGAAACAGCATCAGACGAGTTGAGCAGCCGCCCTTCACTCATGCACCTGCTGGGTACGCAAGTCAAGCTTTTAATCCAAGTGTACCTGACTTCAACTCTCTCTTAACTGAACTCGATGGCTTTCCTCTTGATTACTTCTCTCTTTTTTAAAGATCAATTTTATTTATTTGAAAGGCAGAGCTACAGATTGTCTGTGTGTGAGAGAGGGAGAAAAAGAAGGAGGGCTTCACTCCTCAATGGCCACAATGGGCAGAGCTGGGCCAGGCTGAAGTCAGAAGTGAGGAGCTTCTTGCGGGTGTCTTTCCTGGATGCAGGAGCCTAAGCAGCTGAGCCACCTCCTGCTGCTTTTCCAGTGTGGGAGCTGGATTGGAAGTGGAACAGCCAGGACTTTACCCAATATTCAGATAGGATCTCAGCAATTGGGGTGATGACTTAACCCACAATGCCACGGCGATGAGCCTGACCATCTCTTACTCCACCTTTTGCTTCAAAGATGAAGCGATTTTCAGTTTCTAACGCAAATGCTAAAATTACCTTCATTCTCTAAGTCACTGAAAGATACTACACAAGAATATTACAAAGGGAGCATGCGTACGTCTTAACAAGTTTCCCTAGACAAAAAATATTTGCTTAATTAGGACAGTTGCAGAAATAAGAAATAAGTATCTGTGAGCCAATTTGAGCCCTAGATGCTGCACCTCTAATCCAGCTCCCTGCTAAAACTGTACAAGATGGTCCAAAAGTCCATGGGCCCTTGTACCCAGTAAGGAGACCTGCAAGAAATTCCTGACTCCTGGCTTCGGCCTGGTCCAGCTCCGGCTGTTGTAGCTGTTTGGGCAGTAAACCAGGAAATAGATTCATCCTTTTGTCACTATTCCTTTCAAACAAATAAATCTTTCAAATAATAACAATAATGAGTGTTCATTTAGTCCGTCGGTTTTTACAGGGTCACAGGCTAAAGGCATCCCTTTCAAAGATTAAGGAGATACTGGCTCTCTTCCAAGCCTTTTGGTCTTCCCCACTCCTGTCCATCTGTCCATGGTCCAACAGCAGGACAGCTGGCATACTGGGGCTTTTATTTCTGCCATTACAGATGTTCACATGCCCCCTGTCCCTACAGAGGCATGAAATGGCCAGGCCCTGCTAAGGGCCCACCTGCAAGTGGTGTCCACTAACCTGGCAACAATGCGAAGAGGCCCCAGCTCAGTTCCTTCTGATAAGCAAGGGTGGGCAGACCTTCCAGAGCCAAGGTACTGTTCAGCATCTTACCTTGCTGTTGGCCAGGGGAAAAATGCACCAGGTGCCATCCTTCCTCTGGGAAGGCAAGCGGCTCAGCAAGCAGCGAGTAGGCCGACTCAAGCCCTCCTGCTCCATGGCCACCCCTTATGGGGGCACGTGCAGACCCTAGGTGCCTCTTAAGGACAGGTAAGAACTGCAGGTTTTTACCATGTTGACTGTCCTCTAGGAAAGGGGACAGTTAGCTGAGGTTTGCTTTTTTTACTTCTTTATTTTTTACTCTGATCTTATTCGTTACATTTATTGCTTTTAAATGTATTTTTATTCTTTTTAAGTTGTATACATATATATTTTAAATTTCCACTTGACAAATAATTGTATGTATTGTAACATACAGTACGACATTTCAGACCATTAACACAATGTGCAACAGGCAGATCTGGTTAACTGGCGTATTTATCACTCTCAAAATTTGTCCTTCTTTTGTGTTAGAAGCAGTCAGAATCCTCTCTACTAACTATTTTGAAATATGCAAATGCTGCTCTGGGAGTTTTGAAGTCGCCTGGGAGACAACAAGAAAACAATGCCTCACAATGATTCCCCTCACCTGATCACAGGTTTTAGGTATGATGCACGGTGCAAAATACGACTCCTCGGTCTTGCTGTTGATCACATTGCCATACACGACGATAACAAATTTCATGGTCACATTATTGATAGGCAATTCAACATAGTGTGATAACGTCTCCACGTATGCGTGATTGTCCATCACACAGCTCTGAAACTTCAAGTTCTATAAAAAAAATTACATTATTTCTGTAAGTTACATAAAGTGACACAGAATACCAGGAAGGAGACATATTCAGCCATCTGTGTGAGTTATTTGAGGTAACCAGATGACACATGAACCTGGCACCCTGACTGGTTTCTGAATTCAAAGCCTTGCACCGTTGTCAGCTTGTGACAGTGGCTGTAGCTGCTCGGCCCGGACTTACCAGCTCTCATCAGCCGCAGTCACTGGCCACTCAGCTCCGTCTTGTCGGATCTCTATAATCACAAGACCCAGGCCCATTAACATGGGATCTGCAAGATCTTCAGCATTTCTAGGTTCTACTTAACAGTAAGCAAGTGTCCCCCTTGACAACTGAACAAACTGCACCAGAAACCCAACCAGAGCAAAGCACAGAACTGAATCCGAGTCATCCTCCAGGGCTCAGGAAGGCAGCCACGTACAGGCCACGGAAGGTATCCCAGACACAGGCTTGCACTGCACAGTAGGAGCCGAGTCGACCCAGCACCTGGATTTCACATTTCCGGTTTCCACAGCATTTGCCTGCTGAAGTCTGTGGCATGGCCTGACAGCAGCGCCTAGAGGTCAGTTCAAGGAGAGGACTCCTCCCGCAGAGCCTCAGGTGAGTCACCCACAGGCAAATCAGACACCTGCTTGTGCAGGGTGCCAACGACACTAGACATTAACATCGTGGCTGGACGCTTACACCCAAGTGAGCTTGCAAATAAAAGTGGGATTCCCACATTACAATGCTAGGCTTCCTGCCCTTTCCTATACTTAGCACAGCATAATACATTTAAATGTGAAAAAGTTAAGCATGGAACTTACATTGAAGGACTATACTACCGTGGTAAACTGGGAACAAATGGTGGAAGGTTAAAATGAAGAGAAAGGCAGGGAAGCGGGAGGGATGAACCCCTCTATCAATAAAACTGGTGAAAAATGCTTTTAAAAAAATAATGGGGCATCATTGTGGCACAATGAAAAATATGAAATGCATTTTGTGAAACACACAAAACCTACAAAGCATTCATCATGTAACTTACCTCGTCCTCAAGGCTTGCTTTGAAATACTGATAGGCGATACTGAGAGCGAGCTTTAGCCATATCTTATATTCCAGGGACGGCCAGAAGGCATCGAGGCCTTCGTATAAATCCTCCACGGAGATGAAAAAGGCCTGAAACGAGAGGGCACCAGACCATGAGCAGCAGGGTCCTGGACTCAGTGAAAAACCACCAGCATGCAAGAAGCCTGCCGAGTTCATCTCCATTCTGCCCCAAGAAAACTGAGCACCAACTCCAGCACAACCAGCTCACAGTGCTGTTTGAAAACAGAGTTGTGGAAAAGTGGTTTGCTATGATGAGATGGTAAAATCTGTGATCTAATTAGAGCTAGACTCAATAATATGCCAGGAAAACTCATATCAATCACTGTATGATTTGAAAGGAATGGCTCATGAAACCCAAGATTCAGGAACTGAGACCTACAAAGGTATCTCTACTGACTGTCACAGTAGGTGAAGCCACTTATTCGCCCTGCCTCTGGAAACCAACTGCTTACCCAAAGAAGGGGGACTGTTCTCTCAGATTTCAGGTTAAATGAACCTTGATGAGTCCAACTCAGTCTTACGACTACACGCATGCCTCTGTGCTTGTCCTTCTACTCCACACAGGTTGGAGGCTCTAGCTCCTCCCAGGCTGCATATAACAGTTCCCAAAGAGGGACTAGCGTTTGTAGCAGAAATTCAGGCTCATTCCCATTGGAACCTCCTCCCACCAGTAGGAGAGTGTCAGACCAAGTTACCAATAAGTAACTTCCTACTTGGCATAAAAATGGAAGAAAGATTATTTAAAAGCAAATACTCTTCAAAAGCAACGCCCTCTTAGCTGCATCAATGTAGGGTGGCCGAAATTGTCATACTCTCTGTGACACCTGAAGGTAGCTATTCTCTCTGCTTCATTACCAAGGACATTAACATTTAGAAAGGTTGAATAATTTGCTCCAGGTCCCGTGCCAGGGCAAGCTAGAGCTGGCATGGGAGACACTTAAGTCTGCCTTCTCTTAGCTAGCTTACAGAGTCAATTCATGGAAAATGGACTTAAAAGATAGGTCTCTTTTGGTGCAACAAATTTTGAAATCCATGCATCTAATGGGCCTTCAAAGATACTGTGGAAAATGTAAATCATGAAAAAATATGCAAGAGGGCCAACACATCAGCTCAACTGACTAATTCTCCACTTCCAAGTGCCAACATCCCATATGGGTGCTGGTTCAAGTCCTGGCTGCTCCACTTCTTACCCAGCTCCCTGCTCCAATGCCTTGGGACCCTAGCTTGGGACCAACACCCAAGAGGAGATCTGGAAGAAGCTCCTGGTTCCAGGTTTCGAATCAACTCAGCTCCAGCCAATGCAGTCATTTTAGGCATGAACCAGCAGATAATAGATCTTTCTGTCTCTCCTTCTCTCTGCAAATCTGTTTTTCCAATAAAAATAAATCAACCTTTTTAAAAAAAATATGCATGAGTTTCAAAATATCTTGAGGTCAAATTAAATACTTTTTAGTTGTGTTTTTCAACAGGCTATTATTTGAAGTAGCCTCGTGCACTGCCTGCTTGAAGGCTGGGCAGGGGAGAGAATGAGCTATCAGAAGCCAAAGGCAGGCAAGATGCTGGCATTCCTATCTGCTTGTGGAAGAGTTAGCCAACCCATCACGCAGTCAGCTTCTTGCCTGTAGGACAGTCTCGCAGATGGCGGTATACTGAATTTCCCTCTTCACCAGGCAGCTCAGCTCCCCCAGCACGTCACCGCTGGTGCAGTACTCCGTAAACGGGGCCTTGGCGTCCCCGCGAGGCTTCAGGATGCTGTCTATTCCAAAGGTAGGGGATGAACTCCGCAGCTGCAGAAGGGGAAAGCAGGCGCAGAGGACAATAACAGGTGAAAACTTGCTGATGGAGCCACGGGCTCTGGGCAAAGATTCCTTATGGATCCTGTCGGGGGCGCACAGAAATCGGCTGCTTTCACAGTTCAACACTCCAGAGCAAGGCTTTGCTTTCAATGCTTACCTTTACAAATGGCCTCTGTTGGCAACACACAGATATATGACAACAAATCCTCACCTAACCAGTAATTGCAGCTAGTACAATCAGCTTCTCCGAGCCCACTGGAACTCTGGGTCACAATGGGATGACGCCTCCAGCAGAAGATGGCATTTTCACTGTGTGGCGTACTATCCTGATGACACAAATCACTGTGTCAAATACGCAAATCAGTTCATGCCCCGGCTGCTCCACTTCTAATCCAGCTCCCAGCTTATGGCGTGGAGAAACAGTGAGGGGTGGCCCAAGTCCTCCAGCCCCTGCACCCATGTGGGAGACCCACAAGAAGCTCCTGGATCTTGGCTTTGGATCAGCTCAGATCGGCCCTTGTGGCCGTTTGAGGGGCTAGCCAGCAGAACCAAGAACCTTTACTCACCTGTTCTCTGTAATTCCTGTCTCTCAAATAAAAATAAATCTTTAGAAAATTATTATCAGGCTATGAATATAAATAAAGTTTTTGAGGTACTTCGAAAAACTTGTAGAAAAGTGGAATCAAAGTTTGAATTTGGTGCAAGAATTTTTTGAAACTCATGCATAGTGTTTGTCATAATATTCATTCTCCAGAAAAAAAAACACTTTGAAAGATTTATTTTTATTGAAAGGGCTGATTCACAGAAAGAGAAACAGACAGAAAGATCTTCCATCTGCTGATTCACCCCCTAAGTGGCTGCAATGGTTGGAGCTGAGCTGATCTGAAGCCAGGAGCCAGGAGCTTCTTCTAGGTCTCCCACGTGGGTGCAGGGTCCCAAGACTTTGGGCCGTCCTCGACTGCTTTCCCAGGCTACAAGCAGGGAACTGGATGGGAAGTGGAACAGCCAGGATACGAACCAGCACCCATATGGGATCCTGGCATGTGCAAGGTGAGGATTTAGCCACTGGGCCTTCATTGCAGGCCCACCAGGAAATTTTTGAAAATCCCTCATATATGGGCATAAAAGAATTTTGAGTTCAGGCTTAGGTCCTTTCCCCAGGCATCTCAAAATGTAAGCGCAAACACAAAATCTGAAAAAAAATCCAAAATGTGAAACACTTCTTTCAATAATTTCACACAGGGTGCTCAAGGTGTATTCCTTTCTTTCTTTTTAAGTTACTCATTTATTTTGTTCATTATCCCATCTCTTCTATTCTTCCACCAGAAAATCTGCTCTAAGAAGGCAGAGGTTTTTGTGTTTTGTCAATTCCATGCCTGGAATGAACTGTGTCTGCTACTCGTTAGCAACAAAGTAAATATTTGTTGAATGAATAAATCTTACTATGACAGTGCCAAATGCTTGCCGTATTGTTATATTGTGTCTTATCTATTATAGTTCATGTCCATGCGATTTTCATCTTAACGCTCGAAAGCCAACAATGAAGGTCTGAGACTAAGATTGTCATCTGAAGTTGGGAGTCATTTGGATTACCTATATGTGAAGCTGCTACACTTTTGGTTCAGTTCCAAAGGATTCCTGTCCCCACTGCTTTGCTGGGAACAGGACCTGGAGCCCGCAATCACGTACGGGTACCCGGCTGTGGGATCTTCCCTGCGTTGCACCAGCACCTGATCTCCATCCCACTGGACCTCTCTGAGCATCTGGCCTGGCAGCCTACCTCCTCATTCTTAAATGACTTCAGGTAAGTCATTTACATCACCCAAGTATTGGCTCCTCATCTGGACATTGCTGGAGTCGGTAAGGGCAATGACAGCATTTTGTAGTCTAGGAAACACACCACGTAGTATTGGCTCTTAGCGTCGTGCTCATTTGGAGCACAAGTGGTTTCATCTGCAGTTCCTGAATCTATCCTTATGTTATGATTACATATTTCAAAATACACTTTAGGTAAAGAATCAACAGGTCCTTACACTTGCCATTCCTGACACAATTAGGTAGATTCCTTGTGCCCTGTCGCCTTCCCTGCAGATAACGTCTCCATAGTCAAAGAAGGCAAGTTTGGTTCTTTCCTGAATGGAGAAAAGGAAGGGGCGTCAAAGGTGAGGTGGGGAGTTCACACACAAAGCCAAAACGGTTTTAGAGCAGCGTAAGAAGACAAACTACAATCTTGGTTCGTTGGTGAACTCTAACACGCTGTGTCACATCCCCTTCTAGGGGTAAGAAGATCAACTGCAGATGGCGACTACTCAGCAATAACTGATGGAGACACTAGGTAATACTTACCGAGGGAGCAGCGTTGTGGATAGAGCATTAAACCATGACTTTCTATGCTGGTGTCCCACAGCTGAGCACCAGCGTAAATCCTGCACCAGCGTAAACCCGTTCCAGCTTCCTGCTAATGTGCTGGGAAAGCAGCAGCAGAGTGTCCAGCCATCTGGACACTTGTCACCCTTGTGGACAGCCAGAATGGAGTTCATGCTCCTGGCTTTGGCCGAGCACGGCACCTGCCATTAACACCATTAACACCACTGGGGGAGTGAACCAGAGGATGGAGGATTTCTGTCTCACCATCTTTGTAACCCTCCATCTCAAAAACAAAACAAAACAAAGCAAAAGAAAGAAACCTTTAAAATGAATGTTTACAGGGAGAATAAATTAATGAATAAAAATTTTTAAGCCCCCATTTAGTCTTGGGTGATAGCTAAACTGACACTCTCCAAAAGACCTTTCAGTTAGCAAGGGTCATATTCACAATCAAGTGTGATAATTGTTACAAAAGAGACAGGGATAAAAATACGGAAAAAATGTAGAAAAGCCACCAAACCCTGTTCTCAGTTGTTCAGTGAAGTCTTTCCAGTTAAAGTTAAGCTGAGGCCTGTAAGAAGAGAGAAGATTAGCCAGGGCACGCTGGGAGCTGATGGTCACTCAGCATCTGGGCAGCTGTAGGAGATCCAGTGTGTCTCAGGCAGGAAGAGTCACCCGTTAGCCATCAGCAGACGCAGTGCCAAAAGTCGCCTCTTTTCTCCGTTTTACTAGTTCAAGCCACCATCATTTCTTGTCTCCGTTGTCTGCCCCTGATTGGTAGTCAGTTTTTAACACAACCATGGAATGGTCATTTCTAAATCTAAGTTACACCTTGTTACTTCTTTGCTCAACACTGTCACGTCTCACTCAGCTTTGAGGTTAGTGCCAAGTTGCTTGCAATGGCCAACACAGCGTGTGCACATGTGTCTGACTTCATCTCCTCCATCATTGCTGCAGGATCTGTGTTAGGCTCCTTAATACACCAGGTATCCTTGACTTCAGGCTCTTGCATTCGGCTGTCATTGGCCTGAACATGCCTTTCTGAGACTCTTCATGGCTCGCCCTCGTTTCTTTCAGATTTCTTTTCACTGCTGGTGGCCATGATTACCACACAGGAAACAGATGTCCACCACCTTTCTTCTTCTGTGTTCTCCACAGCACTTGTCATCATTTGGAGGATGCACATTTCCTTACGTGTTGGCGTGTTTATCGCCCATCTATGTCCATGAACTGCCAAGTCTGTGAACATACAGACTTCTCTGTCATATTCCAAAATCTAGAACAGTCTCTGGCACACAGAGGATTGCCTATAGATAAAAGAGTTCAAATCTCTTCAACAACTCTCAGCAGACTTAAGACAGAGTATGAGTTCTTGAATATACCATAATCCCTACTGCTCCCAATGATTCCTCACGTGGTTGGTTTTGTTTCTCCATTTTCTGCCTAGCCTGTGTTGTGATTTATTTCTATTAATTTTAATACTTGTTTAAGAGAGACACGCACATGGATAGAGGAGGGTTGGGGAGGGAAGAAAGAAATGGAAGACGGAGAGAGAGACAGAGAACACTCCAATCGACTGGCTCACTTCCCAAGGCTGGTGTGGCTCAAAACTGGAACCAAGAACTTGGTCCAGGTCTACTGGTCCAGGTGTACACAGGCGGCAGGTATACAGCTGCTGGAATCATCACCTGCTCGTCCCAAAGTGCAAATTAGCAGCAAGCTGGCATCAGACGCAAAGCCAGAGCTGGGACTCCAACCCAGGCACTCTGAGATGGGCCGCAGGCATCTTAACCACTATGCCAAATGACCACCATCTGAGACCTTGCTTGGAAAACTGTGTCTTCCCGAGGATACTTCCAGAAATCCGGAGCCCTATAACACAGACTAGAATGGAATCAGCAATAATAAGGAAACATAGATAGCTCATCCAAGAAGATAAATCACTATGAAATCATGTCTTCGCCGTTTGTCCGAGAATAAGTTGCTTTTACTTTGGGCTTTGCTGGGTCTTTGTTTTAGTTGGAACTGAAAATTACAGAATTTGTTCTTTGGATGTGCTTTTCCATTTTCCTTGCATTAAGAGATCGGAAAAGCTGGAAAAATAATTATCATCCATCCTGAAGCTGAGTGGAAGACAGCATCTTTACCTTGAAGAAATCAATGAGTACGTATTTATTTTCCAACCAAACGATGTTAGGAAGGTATTTGTCAGCAGTAGGAGGTGGGATTGCCATTGGAAAGTTGTTCAGTGCTTTTATTTTTGTAAGAAGAACCTAAAAACAGTCAAAATAATGAAAATGTGATTCGATGACAGGAAGTGACAAGCACTCGGCAAAAACGAAGGAAGTTAAGTAAACTCCTGTTGTGCAAACTTAAGCTTAGTTTCTGGCTTGCATGTGAAGTTGCCCTCTAACCTCTTCTCTCCTTGTTCTCTCCTTGTTATTATTTCCAATGATTTGCTTATCACAGTGACCTATCATCTTAATGATCCAGCTAACACTGTATCCTACTTTGTCTTAAGTCTCAAATTTTCTGAATCTCACCATTGATTACTATATGGTTAATAATCCTATTCTCCCCGTTTTTGTTTTTGTTTTTTTCTCCAAGTGCATGATTCACTCCTCTAACTCCTTCTAATTGCAGAGGGCGTGGCGCCAGCCTGGAAGCCTCTAAGGAGCCTTCTCTGGCTTCCCCCCAGGAGGGAAGAGAAAGCCGCGTTGTGTGCCTTATTCCCACGGCAGCACCTGTTAAGGAGCACATCACATCGCACTATTACCCTTAGCTACATGTCTCACCCTCCTTATTTTGTACCTTGTAGATTAAACAGACTCCAGTGTCAGCATTGTATTAACTGCCTCAACTGCCTCAAGCACCCAGGGCTCTTCATAATTATCCAACATCTAATGACTCCATTTAATGAGCAGATTTTCCTATCTCCTGACACCCAGGACAAATAATTGTATTCTTTTGCTGAAATTTATGCGAAATTAGCAAGCATTCAAGGATTAACTGTTCAATATCTATTACCTTTCTAACAAACCTACATCTCTCTCCATTCATAAAAGCTATTACTTATCTTAACCAAGGAGCCTCAAGCATTGCATTATTGTACATCACCTTCAAAGAAATACAAGAAAGCACAATACAGGTGTAGGTGTAACTGAAGAATACCACGAAGTGTCCTGTCCCTCCTTAACAGGCATTTAGGAGAAGTTATAGAAACCATGCTGAGTTCCTTCCTGTGAAGGAGATGGAGCCCTACAAGGGAAAGCTGTCTGTCCCATTTCTACTTCCATGAACAGGGCCAGGGAGAAGGACTATGGACAGGGCACCACATCCAGGGAATGACCACATGGTCCACGCGTGGAAGCCAGCAGTAACAAGGAAAGGCTGGTAACATTGGGAACATTGTACCAGTGAGCAATGCACACAGATCCTGGGAGTAGAACTTCCATTTTTCTGCTGTCTCAGAAGCTAACATGTGGAATTAACACAGGTGCTTTCAAAAACACCTTCTAGGTGCTACATGCAATTGAGTGGCAGAACTGTATGTGGCTTCTTCCCTCTGTTACATTCCTAAATGTTTTGGCCAATACATTTTTAATTGTTTTAAAAGCCTGTTTATTAGTCGATCAACACGGGCATTTTCCCTGCTCCTGTCCACACACCGAGGTTGGTCCCTTCCTCACAGTGTTAATATTCAGTGACTCCCATACCCTTTGCTGTCATGGTGAGGAGACAACACAAAGATTCCATGGAGAGTAACTGCTGCAGTTTGGATGTGGTTGTGTATATCCCCCAGGGCTTCACGCCTTGAAATTTAATCTCCATTTCGAGGTATTAAGAGGGTAGAAATTTTAATCCGATTATAGAGCTTAGAGGTGGGGCCTGTGGGATCACGAGGATTAATGTTGTCAGGGTGGAGTTTATGACTGAATTAGTGTTTATGTTAATAAACCGGGAGAAGAGATGAAAAGACATGAAACACACGCCCCATCTCTCTCCTGTCTCATGAAGCCCCTCACCACCCGGGCACTCTGCTAGCAAAAGGCCTCAGCAGGTGTGACTCCTAGACTTCCTTCCGCAAGAACTCTGAACCAAAGCAAGCTCCTTTTCCTTACAATGTAAACATGATGTAAACATGCTAATAGCAACAGGAAATAGACAAATAGAGCAACTGAAAAGCTCTCTCTCCGTGTTTGTTCAAGTCATTTCCTGTTGTTCCATGTTGTTCAAGTCATAGCATAGATCATGTGGCCTCATGTTCTGGAATACGGCCTGTGCTGTGGGTTCCATAAGACTTAGCAGCTCTTTTGAACAACCCTCCCTAACCCTATTGCCTGCTTAAACCTTGCTCACTTTGGTCTCTGCTGTTTGCAAACCAAGCAGTTCTGAATGATGGAATGCACCAAGTAGCCTTGGCATCGGTTCCCATTGACATGAACAAACCTTGCGGGCAATTACAGTTAATACGTGTAAGTAAACCGGTTTCTTTTCTTCCCATCTTCTTCACCCATTACACTTTACTTACACTGCAGGATGGGGTGCTGGGCCGACAGACTCCAGCAGCGTGGGAAGTTCTCCTCCTTACCTCATTCACCTCGCTGCCCTCGTGTTTATCGATAATGCCTCTTGACCAGAGGAAGTTGAGGTTCTTCAGAGCCTTAGCGATCACGTTCCGGATCGCCTGCTCCGTCTTCACGGCGATGACGACATCCCGATCCTCGTGCTCCATGAGTCCTGAGGTGCGACCGGAAGAGGCGCTGGTACCGGGTCACAGCGCACGGCTCCCAAAGGACTTACACGGTCTCCTTCCATTCTGCGTGCGTACGGAGCTTGTAAGGCCAGAGGAGCAGGATATATTCATTCCCATTTTATGCATGGGAAAATTGAAAACTGGCCTCCCCCCGGCAGCAAAGAGAAAATTCACTTTCTTTCTCTTAATTCTATGAGATCTCCACCATATCTTTGGTGGAAGTAACTTCATTATAGTGTAATTTTAACTAGCTGTCTCATCCTTCATATTGCATGACTGTTTAAGTGAGCTAAGTATCTCAATGACAGTGTGGCTCTGGCTTTGGCTGGGGAGAGACATTCTGAGATATTCTTTCTGCATATTCTTTTAATAAATACGAGGAGTCACAGTGTGGGCTGCAAATCAAGGTTAAAACTGCATCTGTTTCATCTTTATAATCCTAACATGAGCAAGATGCCTCGCATACAGAAAGAACTCGCTCACCCAATGTTTAGCCACAATGAGTTGGAGAGGGCAGTGGGCTCCTCCCATAATGTGGGAAATTTCTTGTCCTAGCTGGGAAACCAAGAAAAGCAGATGTTTTCTCGCGTCGAGGCCAAGCAGCACGCCAGGTGCCTGGAGTTGTCTGGGACCAGTCTCGCGAGGATGGTGAACCGCGCTCCGACAGCGCTCACGATAGGACTGTATGTTCCGTGAGAAAACGTTTGCTGTTTGCTGTGGATAATCCGCTACCCAAGAAAGCAGTACAACTCACCTTGTCTCCTAGCTACGTTCACATGAGTTTCTTAACTTTTTTGGTAAAATCACCTCATGTTTGTTCATCTGGTTTTGTAATTCACCGCAGACAGAACAAGTTCCAGGGTGCGTCTCAGCCGTGTAAGCTGCCGTGATGGCCCCTGGTGTCAGTGTCAGGGCCTGGCCTTGAGGTCCGGCTGGCTCCTTCCTAGCCGCCAGCCGCAGGCCAGCTTACTGCTCTCCGCCTCAGCGCTCTACCCATAGGGTCAGGATGATGGTGGCGTTAGCCTTGAGTGTAATTACAGCGAGTTCAACGGGGCGGCGCGCGCAGAGACCTGCCAGTATGCAGATGGGGCAAGGAATCCTGGCTTCTCCCGGACAACGTCAAGTTATTGCGCCCTATGTGCATTCATTAGATCATGTTCTCTGTCTTATGATTTGGAAGACATGCCCCTCACAAATCAATATAGCATTTAACAGTGCAATTTTAATACAAAGTGCTTTAATCTTATTTCTTTTCTGGTAATGCTCCTTTCTAAGGACTTATGTAGGCCTGGCCTTCAACCAGTGGAAGGCCTAGTTCCCAGAAAAAGCCTGGCTCGTTGTTCCCACCATGGGAATGCAGACAGGGAAGCTGCCTTAAATCCCCGGCCTTCTGGTACCAGTCAAGGAGAGCACCTTGATGCTCGGGCTGCGGTATCACTTCCACTGCTTCCCCAAGAAAAAAAAAAAAAAAAACAAGAGAAAAAACTGTCCGGCGTCACCTTCACATCTGTTACAATCTTAAGGAATCTGACCGTGCCACCTTAACACACGCTCCATACTCCTTCCATTCCCATTCTCCCTCCGCGCTCTCGGAAGCAACTAACAGAATTCCTTGACGTTTCCGAAGTTATCTATTGGCACGCTCACACACTCCATTAGACCCTGCACTTTTTACTGACTCTTGCACAGCTGTCTGTGTTTCCCCATTCCTGGCCCGTTTTACGTGTTCAATAAATGCTTGCTGATCGATTCAATGAGTCAGTGAAAGCAAGAACTTTCAATTCTTTCATTGAATTACAGGATAATAAAGTGTGATTTCAAGAAATGCAGACCACAACTACCCACCTAGTTCTCTGACGGCATCTCGCTTGTTGGTTTCCAAAATGTCTTGTAGTTTCTGAAACAGATTAAGAAATAATGAGCTTTTCATCGCACCCACTGCATTTCTGAGCTTGAATTCAGAGGGGAAAGGTGTGGCAGAGGACACCTCATGCAGTCAGGTCGAGGAGTGCTGTCTGGCTCAGTTCTGCTGCTTTCCCCACTCTCATGCTCAAACTGCAGACTAGAGTGCAGTCCGAAGTTTGCACAACCACTGTGTCTAGAAGTTCTCAGACCCCACTGTGCACCGAGGAACTCTCATACACAGCTTCTGGTATGGCATGAGCCACCTGAGTAACTTCTCAGGAAGCCAGCCTTTTGGGAAAACAAAAGCAAGTGGAATCATGGCAAAAACAGGATGCCAGTTAGTTCATGCAGTAACTCCAGGACTAACTTAATGATGTCCACTCAATGACATGAGATGGCTGTCACGTTCCTCCTGAAACCCAGGCAGTGTTCGTCCAGAAGCTTCCTCTTGACTTGTGGAACCTGTGCTTAGCCACACCAACAGCTCTGGACCAGCAGCTCACGTTCCTAAATTTTCAGGTATGGGAGACTCCAACTCTGCACCCAAATGCTGTATGACCTGCCGCTGTTTGCAGGAAAGAACTGGCTTATCTCTAAGGTTTAAGCAAAGTTAAGTTAGGAAGTTGAGATGGCTCATTATCAAAACAAACAAACAAAAAAGGCAGCTGAAGACATAAGCTCTGACCCATCCATGGCTTTATGCATATACATACAATCACTGTATCTAGCGCATAAAATTCCTGAAGCTTAAAAATCAGAAGTCTCAGCTGGGTTGAGCAAATTTCTTTCAACTATTGATGGTATTCAGTTTAGATCTCATATATGCAAAATCCAGGAGAAAATCATAATGTAAAGAAACATTAAAGTTTACAACTTTAGCAGCTAGGCCATGGCGCCAGGCCCACCTCATTGCATTTCTAAATGGCTAACAGACATATGAAAAGATGCTCAGGCTCCCTAGCCATCAGAGAGACACAAATGAAAACCACACTGAGGTACCACCTAACTCCAGTGAGATTGCCCCACATTCAGAATTCTACTAACAACACCTGCTAGTGTGAATGTGGGAAGAAAGGTACCCTCCTTCACTTCTGGTGGGATTGCAGGCTAGTGCAACCACTATGGAAATCAATATGAAGAGTGCTTAAAGAACTCCAAACAAACCTGCAATATGACCTATACTTCCCTAGGAATATACGCAAAGGAAATGAAAACTTCATATGGGAAGGGGATCTGTAATCCTATATTTGCAGCAGCACAATCTACAATAGCAAAGGCATGGAAACAATCCAGATGTGCGTCCAAGGAAGAGTGGTTAAAGAAACTGGCTCATCCACTCCATGGAATATTACTCAGCCATGAAAAAGAATGAAATTATACCATTTACAACAGCTAAAGTCCTCGCCTTGAATGTGCCGGAATCCAAATGGACGCTGGTTCTAATCCTGACAGCTCCACTTCCCATCTAGATGGTCCCAACTAGAGACCATTATGCTCAGCGAAATGAGTCAAACCCCAAAAGACAAATACCATATGTTCTCTATAATATAAAGAGACCATCGTGCAAATTGGAATGTATTGTGATGGAGTAATAGAGACTACCATATCCAGCTGTGAAGACACAATGCAACATGCATCTCTACTTTCAAATCAAAGATGGACATAGCTGTTGGACATAACTAGACAATGGGATGCTGGACTGTCTGACATTGTCTGTACTAGCAATGTCAAGCTACACTTAAATAACAGACTGATGAGGCCCAGTGGCGTGGCCTAGTGGCTAAAGTCCTTGCCTTGAATGCTCTGGGATCCCATATGGGCACGGGTTCTAATCCTGGCAGCCCCACTTCCCATCCAGCTCCCTGCTTGTGGCCTGGGAAAAGCCGTCAAGAATGGTCCAAAGCTTTGGGACCCTGCACCTGCGTGGGAGACCCGGAGGAGATTCCTGGTTCCTGGCTTCGGATCGGCACAGCACCAGTCGTTGCGCTCACTTGGGGAGTGAACCATCGGACATAAGGTCTGTATATATGACTTTCCTCCTCTCTGTATATCTGACTTTGTAATAAAAAAAAAAACAGACTGATGGAATTACAACTCCTTATAAAGGACTATACTATTGTAACAATATGAGGAAATCAGTCAGAGGATGGGAATTTGGGCGGGTGGAAATCCCATACTCTATGGAATTGTATCAAAACTTCAAAATTAAATTTTAAAAAAGCAACATTAGAAGAGCATTTATAAAGGGTATTAGGAGGCTACCAGGAGACTAGGACCAAGGCACATCATTAACTGCTGCCTGCAGTATGGACTCTGGAACTGGGCAGATGCATATGGACTTGTGAACTCGGCTGAGTTTACAAAAGGCGTCCGTATACGTTAGGGAATGCTACAGCTGCAACCGTCACAAGCAGGCTTCCCCCTAGGGAGGGCATCACTCTGCTTTCCAACTAAAACTAAATCTTTAAGTTAACTGACTGACTAAATAAGAGTATATTCAAACTATTCAGCCACTGGATGGGGGAGGGAAATAATGAAATATAGAAGCCCAGCACACAAATAAGAGAATAAACCCCAGCATAGACAATTAAGGATTAGCATGTTAGTTTTTTTATGAAAAAAAATACTTGCTATATAAAGAAGCAATCTGCTGTTTTAAGATTTTAAAAATGTTGTCAGAGAAATAGACACCTTGATATGTAAACTGATATGCAGACAGCTGCGTGAGCAGAGCTCAAGGCTGAATTGGTACCATGGAAAATCAAGTTGAGGACGTCTTATTGCAAGAGCAAAGAGTTAGTAGTTATGAGAAAAGCTGAAACAGGTTCTAGGTCAGAATCCGTAGAGGCAGGTGAGAGCCTGAGAAGGTACGAACAGGCAAAGAACGAAGTCGTGCAGGAGGATAATCCACAGACAGCAGACTCCACCAAGTGCAAGGTGCAGCTCTTACTTTAACCACACCCGGACACACCCCAGTGGAGTTTTGTAACTCTAAAGATTAAGAGAAAATCCTGAAGGCTCCAAAAGAGACGAGAAAAAAAAGTTACCTACAAAATCTAGAGTAAAAGTAGAATTTTATTAGCAAACCTGAAAACAGAGATGCAATGTCTTCAAGTGCTCAACAACAACAACAAAAATAGTCTTTCAGAGTCAATGTATTAACCACTAGAATGAAATAACAATCATTTTAGAAACATTAAACTCTATGAAGTTCTACGGAAAAGTGACATAGTAATCCAGCATAACAAGATGGGAAAGCTGTAGAAAGAGGCTCACGCAGGATGCAGAGTGACCGGGAGAAAACAGGAGTGCTTCTTAATCCAGTGCGTTGCATTCCCAAGTCTGGAGCAGTAAACTGTTAGTGAAATTGGGTCGGGTTGAGTCAAATGATAGGTTCTATGGTAAATATTACTGATACACTCATAAAGACTGCTGTCCACTTGTCCATGCGTAGTCATTTATTAAAAGGAACACTGACAAGACAGACTACACAGTTAATATATATAAAACATGTCTGGAATTTAAAAGCTAACTAGAAAAGTGATGTTTTTATGGGTGACAAACAAACAAAAAATCCATATATATATATATATCATAAATCTTTTTCCTGTTAAAGTATCAGCTCCAAAAAAACGTAAACGAAGAGTAAAAGTTAAAGGAGAATGTTCTGATCTCATATTCATGCTTCATGGAAAACAGGAAACAAAGACTGCTTAATCCAGAACTAAGTACGGATTCATACTACTGCTGTGGAAACACTAGAGGAATTTGACATGGGAATTATTAGAAGCCATCTCTGGGTATGGTAAATGAGAAGAATACTTCAACTTTTCTTATTATGTTTATGCATGAAGTGATGGCATTCTATATGGGCATCAGTTTGTGTCCTGGCTCCTCCACTTCTGGTCCAGCTACCTGGGACCAGAAGTAACACCTGGGAAAGGAGTTGACGATGACCTCGGGTCTTGGGCCTGTGTGCCCAAAGGGGAGGCCGGAAGGCTCCAGTCTCCTGGCTTCAGACCAGCCCAGTTCTAGGCACTGCAGCCATTTGGGGAGTGAACCACCAGAGGGAAGAGTTTAAGTCTATCTCTCTCTCCCTTCCTCCCTGCCTTTCTCTCTCTGTCTCCTTCTCTCTGTAATTCTACCTTTCAAATAAGTAAGAAAAAATGATAGATAGATTGGTTGATTGGAAAGGCAGAGTGAAAGAGAGATCAAGAAGGAGAGACACACAGACATAAAGGTCTTCCATCTGCTCATTCACTCCCCAAGTCACCACAGTAGCCAGGGCGGGACCAGGTGGGAGTCTAGGGCCAGGAATCCCATCTGGGTCTCCCATCTGGGTGGCCACCTGGGTCTCCCACTGGGGTCTCCCACCTGGGTCTCCCATCTGGGTGGCCACCTGGGCCATCTCCACTGCCCTGTCCTTAACAGGAAGCTGGACCAGAAGCAGAGCAGGCAGGATTCCAAAGAGGTTCTCTGATATAGGACGCCAGCCTGACAAGTTGTGCCACAGTCCCCTATCAGCATTTTTTATTTTTTCTGTATCTGTCTATATTTGCAGTCACAGATCTTATGCTTTAGACCATACGGAGCCATTGAGTACTCATCAGAAAACAGATGTGAAATCTAAATAGGTCTTTTAGGCACCTTACTCAATTGTCCAACGTGTCCTGGAGAGGACCGACTACACGGGGGAGCCCAGTAGAGAAGCGACTCCCGTGAGCTGCTAGCTCCCCATTTGACACTTACTAGATATGCCTGGAAATGCAGAGGGTCTTGAATCATAAAATAGACATCGTACTATTTACCCACCCCACGGTAGCATCATTTAAAGTGTTTTCTCCCTTTCTGCTTAAGAAGCCTTCCCTCTGCAGCCTTGTCTGAACTCCAGCTCCCGCTTAAAGCCTTTCCCAAGTGTCTGGTCTTTCCAACAGCATTGCAGGGATAGATGCAATCCTCTCTTTACTGTGAACTCGGAGAGTGAGTCGGATATTTCTGCTATTAAGACAATGAGTTTGGCAATGAGAGCTGAAAGGTAATGAACAGACTTTCCTGCAGCACCTCGCGCAGCACGATAAACAATTAACTCCCCTTCAACTGGTGGGTCTGAAAGAAACACTCTTAAAACGAACTGACGCACCCAAGTGTGTTGTGTTCTTGCCAAACGACCAATACTTGCTTCTCACCTGGTATACAGAATCACAGCCAGAAATCTGTCTCAGTAGAAGTTTGGTGTCTTCCTGACTCTTGATATATCCTTTTGTAATATGGAACATCATGCACAGGCGCTTCTTAACCATCACTTCCACCACCTTTCTCAGTACTGGGATTAGTATCTGAAATGATGGGGAGGGAAAAACACTTTCAACACGGTGATGAAAGGTACCGTGCAAGGTGGAGTTTGTCTCCAGACAAGTGGCAACACAACGCAGAAACTAGTATAGATTCAAAGCCTTGGGCCTCAGCACACCGAGTGGGGTCCAGAAACCAATCCCATGTAGACTCCAGTTGGAAACCCACCGTGATGGAGCCTTTATGGGGATGCAATAAGGGAAAATGGTGCCTTTCCCTTCATTCTCGATAGCCTCCGATTTCAGGAGACTGGAACTTGGGTCAAAGTTAACTAACTGCACAGACCCTCTGTTCTCCTCAGTTTTGCCTCTTGTAAGATGAGGAACCGGAGGTATCTGAGCTCTTCTTTAGCGCTCGACTTCCATAATCATGACCCGAAAATGTTGCAGTGATGTCAGAATGAGATTTTCAATAAACCCCTCTCTAGACGCAGACACCAGCTCCCTTGTTCCCAGGCTCAGTGGACTTGCTTAAAGGACTGAGAGACTTGGAGGACTTGGTTTCATCGTGTGTGAAATGCGGAATGCAGTGTAAGCGCTAGGAATCCCATGGCACTGCTCTTCCAAAGCCACACTGACCCCAGTATCTCCTTCTCTCTGTGAATCTGCCTTTCCAATAAAAATAAATAATTTTTTAAAAACTATATAATTGCTAAGGGACAGGTGTGTTGGTACAGTGGCTTGCAAAGTATTTGTAACACTGCATCTCACATCAGCCTCTACAAGTCCTGGCTACTCCAGTGTTCCATCCAGCTCCCTACGATGCACACTTGGATGATGACCCTAATAATCAGACCCCAATAATCAGGTCCCTGCCACCCCCATGGGACACCTGCTGCATCCCAGGACCCTGCCACCCCCATGGGGCACCCTGCTGCATCCCAGATCCCTGCCACCCCCATGGGGCACCCTGCCACCCCCATGGGCACCCTGCTGCATCCCAGGTCCCTGCCACCCCCATGGGACACCCTGTCACCCCCATGGGGCACCCTGCCACATCCCAGGACCCTGCCACCCCCATGGGACACCCTGCTGCATCCCAGGACCCTGCCACCCCCATGGGACACCTGCTGCATCCCAGGACCCTGCCACCCCCATGGGACACCTTGCTGCATCCCAGGCCTCTGTCACCCCCATAGGACACCCTGCCACCCCCATGGGATACCCTGTCACCCCCATGGGGCACCCTGTCACCCCCATGGGGCACCCTGCCACATCCCAGGACCCTGCCACCCCCATGGGATACCCTGCCACATCTCAGGCCCCTGCCATCTCCCATGGGATACCATGTAGCAACCCAGGTCCCTCAGTTCATTCTGGTCCAATGCTAAACATTTAGGGTATTTGGTAAGTGAATCAGTGGATGGAAGATTCTGTGTGTGTGTGTGTCTCTCTCTCTCTCTCTCTCTCTCTCCCTCCCTTCTTCTCTCCCCCCGCCCCCTGTCTTTATCTTTCAAATAAAATGAACGAATACCTGGGTCCCTGAGGACTCCATCCATGGGGAAGACCCAGACTGAGGTCAAGGTCCCTGATTCAGCCAACCCAGCCCTCTGCTGTGGGCATTGGAGTGAACCAACAGACAGAAAATTCCTCTCTCTGTCTCCCTCTCTCTTTGTCTTTCAAAGAAAACAAAAATAAACGAATACTTTAAAAAAAGAGAGAAATTTCTTTAAAAATTGGAATTAATTAAGATGGAGATTTTAAAGTGTCTATTTTACTATCAGGACTTATAAATTTTGATGTTAAGCCTCTGTAACTTGAATAAATACTAGTAGATTTACTTAGCATAATAAGAATTAAATCCCCCCCCAACATGAGATTTTGATTCCGTATGATTTTTGCCCTAAGCTGAACTTAGCAGGAAAGGCTCATGTAAGTTATAACTGTATAGTAACACAAACTAATCTAGGAGTCAGAATGTACAATGAACTTAGTTGATAAAGTAAGAATTAAACAACAGAGAAAAGATGGCAGACAGAGCCATCGAGGGCTCCTTGCTTACTTCAGTGCTGCTTGTCCTGACACAACAGAGGCATGACAGTGGAGACTAAAATCACAGAGCTCTACTTAAAAAAAAAAAAAAAAAGATTTATACACTTTTATTGGAAAGGCAGATTTACAGAGAGAAGGAGTGACAGAAAGATCCTCTATCCACTAGGTGACTCCCTAAGTGGCCGTAATGCCCACAGCTGAGTTGATGCAAAGCCAGGAGCCAGGAGCCTCCTCCGGGTCTCCCACACAAATGCAGGGCCCCAAGCTTTGGGGCCATCCTCGACTGCTTTCCCAGGCCACAAGCAGGGGACTGGATGTAGAACAGCCAGGACGTGAACCAGTTACCATATGGGATCCCGACAGGTGCAAGGTGAGGATTTAGCCATTTGTTCCAGGCCCATGAAGATCTACTTTTAAAATCAAACCCAGAAACACAAAAGGAAAAGATAGCAATTGCTGTGGAAATTGAAGTTCACACACAAACTCAGTTCTGCAGACCAATTGCTGTGTGAGCCTAGGCCTGTTGGAAAAAATATTGTTTTCTTTCTGCAGTTTATAAAATACATTTCATTGAAGCTGGAAGAGCTTGTTTCTGGGTCACCCTACTCCTAGTGGCACCCAGACCTTGCTGACCCCTTCAGTGGGCCCTGTTTCAGTCCTAGGTATTAGCCATGACTAAAGCCAACATCCCCACCTCCTGGTGAGTACACACAGCTTATGGAAGGCAGGCAGGAAGTGCCATGGGGGCTAAATAAAGACCAAGCAAATGGAGAGGGAGCAGGCAGGCAGGGTGAAGACCTGGGAATTTTACAGAAAGGACGCCTATGTGACAAACTAAGGTGTGAACAGCGACCCAAAGAGGGTGGGGGTGTGAGTCCAGCAGACACCAAGGAGGGGAGTCCAAAGAGAAAGCTCCTTCCTTTCAAAACAGTGACTTTTTCAAAACTCATTCAACAGTGTTTAATACAACCCCAACAATTAAAACTATCAAGTCTTACCTTGAAGATATGCAGAAATCTAATTATTCTTAAATATCCCAGCATTACAGTGACCTGAATAAGAAGCAAGTTATCTGGTCTCAATCTGACAAAATATATGCAAAATACATCTATGATTCCAATGATGACAATGAGAAATTCCAAAATATTCCAATGTTGTTCAAAGTATCTCCTTTTCAGAATTATTATCTGTTTGGAAAAACAGATATATTATTTAGTCACTATACAGTGATACAGGAGAAGGGATATTTTTAAATTAACAGTGATGTTAAATGAACTGTATTCTGAAACTTGTGCTTTAAGTTGCTCATTTTTTTTTTAAGATTTACTGATTTTTATTGGGAAGGCAGATTTACAGAGAAAAAGAGAAACAGAGAGAATGATCTTCCATCTGCTGGTTCATTCCCCAAGTGGCCACAACGGCCAGAGCTGAGCAGATCCGAAGCCAGGAGCCAGGAGCTCTTCCAGATCTCCCACGCGGGTGCAGGGTCCCAAGGCTTTGGGCCATGCTCTGCTGCTTTCCCAGACCACAGGCAGGGAGCTGGATGGGAAGCAGGGCTGCCGAGATTAGAATCCAGCACCCATATGGGATCCTGGCATGTGCAAGGCGAGGATTTAGCCACTGAACCATCACTTCAGGCCCAGAGCAGTTCTTCTTCTCCCCTCACCCCCGGCATAACTTATTATATTCACATAAAGTGAACAAATTTCAGATTTCACAATTCAGATTTGAGAGCCTAGCGTACTCCTCCCACCCCCCCAGCCTCCTTCCATGTGCATTTTCGACCCACCCCCTCCCTTATTTCTACAATACATTTCTATACAAGCAGTACCTTCAATGATGATTGCAACATACATACAAACATAAAATAGTAGTTTAATGTTATCAGTGTTGACACGTTCAACTCTCTTGCCATTGGCCACAGGTGGATTATTAGAGGATAAACATATATTAATGTTAAAATATGGCCTACATATTCAAATTCTTCTGAAAATACAATATGGTGTACAAACATCATGAATTTATGACTCCTGAAAAAAAATGAGAACAAAATAAAATATCAGTTCACTTAAAGGTGCAATTAAAAGCAGAACACCTGCTTCAACATCATGTGACGACGATGACAATTACAAGCAGACGTGTACGTCACGTTGGAGAAGGATAGAAAGCATTGCTGGTCTGTATGCTCATCTATGTCACAGGTGGGGTGCATTTCTAAAAACATAGAAAACAACGCAAAGATGGAACTGTCGAGGAGCTGGTTTTGTGGTGCTGCAAGTTAAGCCCTTGCCTGCAATTCCAGGGTTCCTATCAGAGCGCAGGTTCTAGTCCAGGCTGCTCTGCTTCCTACTCATCCAGAGATGAAACAGACAGGCATCCATGTGGTCAACCAGTTAGACGTTTCTCACCCTTACTCAGAAGGATATGTGAGCAACCTGGTACACAGCATGATCAGGTCAGAGTGGCTTAAACTCGGAGAATTACAGCATAAGCATCCTTTCCTATTTCCTGCCCACTCTCCAATGTAGATTCCAATGGAGTTAGTGAAAACAACATGCAGGAAGAGAATCGAGCATTCCATTCCTCTAGCAGGTGTTGAGATGACCACAGAAGTAGTCTAGGTTTAATAAAGAAAACAGACAATCTATTCCAACAATGTAGACATGGTAGTATTTTCCAATATATCACTGTTAAAGCCTCACGCTACTTACCCAGGTGGAGGAAAGGGTATCCTTTCTTTATGATATTCCAAGTAGGTTAACACATTTTTAAACTTCATGAGCCAACTTCTAGCTCGTACATAAGTTGAAACGTCATAAATACTCAGGAATCTAACAAAACAAAAGTATGCATATGTTACAAAAAACATCAAGTGCTACACTTTGGGGAATGTAACAGGAGAATTCATAATCCTTACAAACTTGGTAAGAATTGGCTGCCAATGCTCAGTCAGTACCAAGCCCCAGCACCCTCCCAGCTGGCCCCCATGGTCACACCACAACGGGTCACCTTCAGTGTCACACTTGTGCAGCTGCTGTTTCTGGAGCCATTCCTGGCCCGAGACGGAACAGGAGCCAAGCTCCCCCAGGCCAATCCTTTGGGGTTCAAGCTTGAGCTTCCTTGTGTAGCACCTCGCCTAGCCCAAGCTTCTTCAGAACCCTGAAGAGCCTGCTGTGACTGGACTTCACTGTAACTCCAGCACGCTGAACTGTCCCCCACCTACTTCGTCACATCTGCTACGTCAGTCGGGTCAGTGCCTCCAGAGCCAGCCTCATCCATGAGAGCAGTCTGACAGCACATACACTTCAGGCCTCCGCACCTCCTCCAGTCACTGTCTTACTGAAACTAACACACAGACAAAACTATGCAAGTTTTCTTACCTAACTATATTGCAAGTAAAATGTTACCCTGAAGTTATAGCAGTGTTCTTATCTTCAGTTAGAACTTCCTCAAGAATCCACTGATGTCTGAGCTGCGCAGTGGCACATCTGGCTAATCCTTCTACGACACCGGCATCCCACATGGGTGCCAGATATTCTGCTTCCCATCCAGCTTCCTGCCCATGAGCCCAGGAAAGCAGTGGAGGATGGATCAAGTTCTTGGGCCCCTGTATCCATGCAGGAGACCCCAAGAAGGCTCCAGACTCCTGGCTCTGGACCGGCCAAGCTGCAGCCATTTGAGGAGTGAACCAATAAATAAAAGATTCTCTTTCTGTCCCTCTCTCTATACTTCTGCCTTTCAAGTAACTTAAATAATAATTTTTCTGAGAAAGGAATCTGCCAACTGCAAGGGAATGGGGAGCCACCATTGTGGTATAATGGGTCTAAGCTGCTGCCTATATGGGCACTGGCTAGAGCCTCAGCTGCTCCTCTGCCAAGCCAGCTCCCAGCCCTGGGAAATCAGCAGAAGACTGACCAAGTCCTATACCCCTGCACCTACCTGGCAGACCTAGATGAAGTCCCTGGCTCCTGGCTCTGGACTGGCCCAACTGCAGCCATTGTAACCATTCAAACAAATAAATCTTTAAAAAGAGCTAGCCCAGTGGCAAACTAATCCTTCACCTGCAACACTGGCATCCCATATGGGTGCCAGTTCATGTGCCAGTTGCTCCTTTTCTGACCCAGCTCTTTGACTACAACCTGGGAAAGCAGCAGAGGACGGGCCAAAGCACTGGGCTCATGCGCCAGTGTGGGAGAGCCAGGAGAAGATCCTGGCTCCTGGCTGCGGATCCTCTCAGCTCCAGCCATCGTGGCCATTTAGGGAGTGAGCTGGCGGATGAAGACCTTCCTCTCTGTCTCTCCTTCTTTCTCTATAACTTTGCCTTTCAAGGGAAAGTAAATAAATCCTGTGGGTTTTTAAAAATAGAAATACAGACAAAGAGAACTAGAAAAGAGAGAAAAAAGAAAGAAAGAAGGAAGGAAGGAGGGAGGGAGGGAGGGAGAGAGAGAAGGAACTGCCCCAGTAAATTTTAAAGAACACTATAGGAGAAAATATCAACAAATAAAATACGAAGTGGATGAATGCATTGCTCAGTTGACAGACTGATATGGTCAGGTCAAGTAACAGATTGATCAAGCTAAGGATTTAATTCTCTGCCTGCCCATTCTTGATTGCATACGCCTTTACTGGGAAAGAACCGTTAAAGGAGAGCGACACTTACTTTCCTTGGCTGGGACAGTAGCTTTTCACTGCACCAATTAATATCCGGGCTGCCTCTTTTCGAAGGATTCCATCATTACACTGCTTTTCAAAGCTACTCTAGATATACCATTTTAAATGAAAATTACAAAGAATGAAAAATAAATGTAATGAACCCTCTTAATTGTTAGATTTCACTACCGAACTCAATATGTGAAAGTATACTATCTTTCAAAAAATATCTCTAGCAAGAAATAAATCTCATTCAATTCAAATATCAATGTACAGTACTGGTTGTTACAGGTACAAAGGTTCCTGGCATGAAGAAGCTCAAAGTTTATCAAACTAAAGCAATCTCTTGAGTAACATCAATGCATTATCAGTAGTGCCAAGCTTCCTCAGCAAACAGAAAGTGAAAAGTGGACTGGGGCGGTAGCCTAGTGGCTAAATCCTCACCTTACATGTGCTGGGATCCCATACAGGCACTGGTTCCAATCCTGGTAGCCCCACTTCCCACCCAGCTCCCTGCATGTGGCCTGGGAAAGCAGTGAAGGACGGCCCAGAGCCTTAGGATCCTGCACCTGCATGGGAGACCCAGAGGAGGTTCCTGGCTCCTGGCTTTGGATCAGCTCAGCTCTGGCTGCTGTGGCCATTTGGGGAGTGAATCATCAAATGGAAGATTTTCTCTCTATAGCTGACTTTCCAATAAAACTAAATCTTAAAAAGAAAAAAAAAAAAACTGACAGGAACTCTCGGTACCAGAATCCACCTTTGACGGGTGATTTCTAGACAATCAGAAATGACCTTGAGCAACATGCTAACATAGGAAAATCCTGTCGGAAAAAAAACAAGAAGTGGAAAGTATTAACTGAAAATGTGACTAATCACCTCAGACTACTAAATACTTCCCCAGGGAGGGAGGCAGCCTGAATTTTGGGCCAATTCCTTCTTAAAATAGGAGAAAACCCAGCTGTGGAGTGCCACTGATGCTCAATTCAGAGATGGAAACTACAGCCTTGGGGCTGCTACCTCGACGTTCTGCTCCCTATTGACTGCGGGTTCCTGTCGGTACCTTTTCTGCAAAGGCGGTCTCCAATCTCGACTATGTCCAACATGTCTTCCACAGTGTTACAGCTCTAGGGAATCCATGTCACCCACAACTCAAGGCCATGGCTGTGCCTTCACCAGCTTCCTTTCCAGGACAGAAAAATGACCGACCTGTAGCATCTTTGATGGAGTATATGCAGACTCCGAAGGCACCTGCCAGAGGACGGGGCTGCGGTTGGCCTACCCTGATGCTGAGAACTACACTTGCTGGAGTTCAGGAAGTTCAGGCTGTGAGCCTCCAGGCTAGTCCTGGATACCCACCAGAGAAGAAAGAAATGTGCCACGGGTCAGTCCTGAGGCATCTGCCTACAAGCAGCGGTTATCACAGTTTTTCCATTCCTGCACAAGCAGAAGTAGGCCTGGCTCGAGAAAACAGCGATTCTACTCTGATGGGAATTAACTTATCCCTTAAACAATTATTTATTGAGTACTCTATGCCAGGACAAGGATGGTATAATTCAAGGCTTTGTTCATAGTCTAGTGAGGGTGGGGAATGCAGCATACATAGCATTATAAAACAGATTAGGAAAGAGAAGAGTATAAAACCAAACACACCGGAGAATTCATCGTAGCTGGCGTGCAGATGGAGACAGGCAGAAGTTCATTAAGGGACCGAGAGCTGCGCTCTTACAAGGAACTGAGGGAGGAGCATACTTACCCAGACAAAGAGCAGACATGAGGAGTGGAGATGGAGATGAAGGCAGACAGAAGGTGCGTCTCTAGGACATGCACAGAGGTGGGACTATACGGTGAGTGTGAGAAAGGAGTGAGTGTGAGAAAGGACATGCTATGGGGCACAGAGATGGGATTATACAGTGAGTGTGAGAAAGGATGGGTTATGGGCACAGTGGTTGGACCATATGGTGAGTGTGAGAAAGGATGGGTTATGGGCACAGAGGTAGTCAGAGAAACAAGCTGGCACCAGCTTTAAAAAACCCAGACTTAATTTCACAGATTAGCTTTTTTCTTGGAGCATGTTACACTTAATACTCCTCAAATTCCAATCCCAGGAAAGTTAGGCAGGACATGCACGAAAGGGGAAGGAAATACATTGTAATATTCCCTCTCGGAGAAATTTCCTCATGCTTAGGCATCTTAGAAACCCCTAAAATTTCTACCAGAAGTCCCACCAAAATACCTATTTATAAATCAGCATTTCTTCAGCTACTGAAAGAGGAAACTTCATTTTTGTTCGGGTGCGATTGGCACGTGTTCTTTGGAACTTACTTTGGAAAGTCTATTCAGTGAGGATGGAGTTAGGACTTTGAGCAGGAAGGCAGCACAGTCGCATCTGCCTTTCAGCAAGTCGTTGTGATTTGAGAATGGAAATATTGGAGGAAGGAAGACCAGTTTGAAAAATACGTAGAAGGTGAAGCTGACAGAGCTGGGCGAGCGAAAGGAGAGGCCTGATGCGGGCAACTCATGCCCACGGGCGTGGGCTCCTGCACTGTGGTCCAGAACGTGACAGCTGGTTTGTCTGATGCTCTCAGCACACGTGTGGCACCAGGAGCCGCCAGCTAGCCACAAGTGGATTCTTGAGTGTGAAGAGCTGTCGTAAGGGCTTTGGAAAAAATGCTGCAGCTCCCAAGGGCTTTCTTGGGTAGTATTAGAACCAAGAGTGCGGCTGAGACCAAACAGGGTTACACCATAGGTAAAGTGAAGACAGTGGACAGCGATAACTGTCCTGCGGAATACCAACATTAAAGGAATAAAGGGGAAAGACACAACTGATAGACAAGACTAGGAAGCAAACGGATCAAAAAAGCAGACAGGCTGTGACTACAAGGTGCTCTCAGGAAAGCCACCTAAAGATAGCGTGGAATAAGTTACTCTACACAATTGTTGTCTTTTAAAAAATGAAGCTACGACAGGTAGTCGTTACAAGGGACCCATGCACCGTGCCCTTCTGCTTCATGCCTCTTCGCGACTCACGCTGCTGCATCCACATCTCTCGTGATGCTTGGCTTGGCTTTGTGACTTGCTCTAACAGGATGGGGTTAAACGTGACATTGTTGAGATTCCAGAACCTAGGATTAAGGAGGCCTTGCAGCTTTCCCCTCTTCCTCTGTTGGAAACCACACTGCCATGCCTTACAGGATCCTGGCCCAGCCTCCCGGCAGGGAAGAACAAGAGCATCCAGAGGGACAGCCGACCCCAACTGCCAGGCCAGTGAATGGAGACATCCTGGGCCCTCCGCCCTGCCTCACATACGAGATGACCAGGAACACGTGAGTGATCCCAGGCCAGACCAACACTAAAATTCTCCAGACTGCCCAGGCCCCGGGTCCTTGAAAAACAATAAACCGCTGATGTTTTAAGTCCTTAAGTTGGTGTGACTTGTATTACAACAGAAATGAACCAAAACTGTGGAAGTTTTGGAAAGTTGTGAAAAACCTTATCCGCAAGCACCTATACAGCGGAAGGTGGGACTGGATGGTAGGCTGAGGCTAGAAGGGCAGGGGGGACACTCGGTGGGAGCCGAAGGAACGGTGAGGCAGCTCCTGGAGGCGGCTAGGGGAGGCCGCTGTGCCGGGGGGTGGCAGCACCACTGCCAAGGCTGCCAGCTGGGGCAGAAGCACCAAACAAGCCTACAGATCTGCCGAGGGAGTTTCTGAGAACATAGGGACCTCGAAAGTGTCCATATGGTAAGATACAGACATAAACCCAAGAGAAGCTGTTCCATACACCACGTTCTGAGATAAAAGAAAGGCAGGATCTGCCAGATAAAAGCCAAAGCTGTTTCTCTCTGTAGTATCTGCCGCTGGCAAAGGTTCAGGAGTGAGAAGCCAAATCCGGAGTCTGCCAGTACAGTGAGCTCAGCTTCAATACCCAGCTGAGGGCATAGACACAGGCTTTTGCTACACGGGCTGCTCCACCTTGTCTCCAATGTCCTCTGGGTGACAAGAAGGTGTGGGGTGCATCGGACTAATCACATTGACTAAACACGTGGTGAGGTCTTAAGGAAACTATCCCAGGCCACACTGACACTGAGAGAGGCAGCCTAAAGGCATACACATCTAAGTCTCCCAGTCTTCTAGACTGAGCCAGCCATCTAAGCTATCATCATGGGCTACTTCCTGCAGACATGGAAACAGCAGCAAGAACTGTGCGTGTCACCACCTGCATTTCAGAGTGGCCGTGGACAAGGATTCTTTGGGGTTGCCCTTGCTTCCCTGTCCTAAACACAAGTATCTGCTAACCACCCAAATGTTGGCTAGAGGCGGGCACAAGGAACTTGCCTTTTAGCTCACAGGTCTCTAGGTAAAGAGAGTCATAAAAAGCTAGAACCAAGGAGCCTGGACTTGGACCAGAGGCAGATCAGATGTTGAGTGTGACCGCATAATAAGGCAACAGGCTAGGGAATCTTAGAAAAAGAGTAAACATTATGTATGCACAAGGGATCTCAAAAGTTGTGGCTGACAACAAAACTATGGACGTGTTAAATATGATCACCAAATCTCTGAATCTCTTGCCATAGTGAGTCCATTGCCCTACTCCTTGAGTTTGCATGGCCTCATTCACAAGACTGGCAGATGGGTAGAGGCTTGGCTGTGTGCCTCGGCCCTCCTCTGTGTGGCCTCCCGTGACACAGAGGTTAGGCCATGAGCCTCACCTGGCAGCCCCAGCAAGCCATCCAAAGCCTGGTCTAGCCCACAGACCATCACAGAGCTACTTGTGCTGCATTTACCCGTCAGAACAGATCAAGAGGTGGGGACCAAGTCGCTACCTTCTAGCAGGGGGTTTGACAAAGCCCTTGCAGCCATCCTTCATTTCCACTACCATGTGTGACAGCCCTTCAAACGCCAAGAACATCTTAGATTAAGTATAGAGTTGTTTGAAAGAATGGAAAGACACATTCTGTAGCAGGTTTAGCTCTCTGATGCCATGCAGGCTACCCGTATGACCACTGGTTTATGTTCAGGCTGCTCCATTGTCTATCCCACTCTGCTAATGTTCCTGGGAAAGCAACAGAAAATGGCCCAAGGGCTTGGGCTTCTCCACCCACAGAGGAAACTGAGGCAAAGCTACTAGCTCCGGACTTGAGCACAGCCCAGTTGGCTGTGGCTGTTGCAGCCACTTGGAGCAGGAATCAGCAGGTGGAAGAGCTTTCATTCTTCTTTTCCTCTAACTTTCAAACAGATCCATCGAGGCAGTGGCCTTCAAGGTGCATTAATAGAAAGCTGGATCAGAAACAGAGCAGCTGGAACCCAAGCTGGCACTCCAGTGAGGGATGGTAGAACTGCCATGTGGACACTTAACCTGCTGTGCCACAATGCCAGCTCCTTAAAACTACGCTTTTAAAAGAAAGTTAAAACCAAACAAAAAACTATGCACAAAGTATTTTATATACCTGCTATAGTGAATAATATCTGCCCATTAGAATCTAAATCCAATTTAAATGTCCAATTTGATAGGTTGATTAGAATTTTTTAACTTAGAATTCTTCCTATGTTTATATTAGAACATTTAAATATTACTATTAGAACATCTTAGGAGAGTGCCAGTTTCTGCAGCCTAATGTTAACTTACTGTACTTCTAAGAATTCAATAAGCACTTTAAAAAATTCTGTTCTCAAAAATTTGACTAAAATATGCTAAATTTATAAAAGTTTCAAATACTTAGAGATGCTTAATTATTAAAGTATGCAAATGGCACAAAATATCATGCTAAAGACCCTTGAAAGTAACTGGCAAGATTGGCCAGACCTATATCTGTCACTTAAATTTAAAGCCTAGGTTGTTTTTTAACCTTCATAAACCAAATAGGTTATCAGAATTTGAAACAAAAAAAAACAGTCTAGTTGCCTGGAAGCCATATGTAAGAATTAACAGCATTGTAAGAGGAAGGATTTCATAGCAGCACCAACCACTTGTATCATAGCTACGTGCAACCTGGCTTCTTCAATCAGAACTGCATCTGTCGGAGACGCCTCCACTTCGTCGGGGGAAACGCAGAACTGCTTGGTACCAGGCTAGATGTTAAAGCATAAAAACATCTTAGGTGCCAACAAACATTGCATCCAGCAGCAATTCCATAACTTAGATCAGAATTGTGAAAATGATAGGCTAAAGATTGTTAAAATGGTCACTTGGATAATGTTTTTCATATAAGAAGTGCTTCTCTCAAACATAGCAAGTATTAATTTGGAGAGATTTAAATTAAGGCCAAACTCCTCTCCACACCCATCTGAAGCAGCTCATGCTCTCTGCTCCTTACACGCGTGTACTGGGAGAGACAGGTCGTGGATACACAACCAGGTAATTTACAAAAACAACCATTCTCCTGATATTAGGCAGATAAGGTGGAATCGCCAAGTAAACCTCTACAGAGACAAAATTCAGAAAATTCGCCAAGAGTTAGAAGTTAGAAGACGTCACCTGACGTCACCTGACAGAAGCAGGGTTTTTACAATCCCAAGTCAGAGGGGCAGACTTAGGGAGAACAAGGGCTACTGCTTTACGCCAGCCAGCAACTAACCCAAGTCATGTAGCGTATCCTCGTTTTGTCTTCTACGAAGTCCCAGTTAACATTTGCCAAGTTTTTTTCTGTTTTAAATAAAGTTATGGTGTTCTGAATTATCTTCTGTATGTGCTGAATGACATTTTGGATGGCCATTTGTCTCGGGAGGGTTATATTGCACAAACCTGTGACACAGGAAAGCAGGGGCCTGAAGACAGAATAATGAAGACCGCGAGGGAGAACAACGTTGCACGATTAGGCAGTGAGTTCTTAGCCCACACGGAGCACAGTCAACCCACCTCCTCACCCAAAACTTCCCCAAACCCACATCTGTTTCCCGCTGGCTATAAACTCAGCTTTATCTAATTCAACTGGTTAAAAATGTGACTTGCTATTTCAAGGCATCTAATCAGTATTGTTCAAAGTGTGAAAAATTACCCTGATTGTCTGCAGGTAAAAGGGAAGCTTATTAAACTACACAAGCCACAACACGGACTCTCACTGGCCTCAGAATCTACATTCTAACAAGCTCTGTGTTTCTGATACATAATGAAACATGAAAACCACTAGAATAGACAGTCTTCAAATTTAACATCTCATTTCTTGGCCACCAAATACATATTTCCCAAGTGAGCAGCACTTGGTTTTGCTGTTTTGTTTGTTTATTTGTTTGTTTGGTTTGGTCTTGGCGTGAATTTGAAGTCACGGCATTGAGGCTTGCATGCGAAGACAGTGAACCCATGAACACTCAGCCTCCTCACAATCCATCTCAAGAGAGATGCTCTCTCCTTGTAACTGCACACAAAATGTCTTAGTTCGCATGCTCTCTAGTTTACTGTCCTTGATGGGCAGTGCGCAGCGGTAACATTTGAAAAGTGGAGGTTTCAGAGAGATCTCGCAGTATATTTTTCTCGAGGACCAGGAGTAGTTCACTCAGGTGCAAAACAAAAATACAATCGACTGCGTGCTGAAGAGTCAGCAGCTGCTTGGATTTTCAATTTCGTGGCTGAGCACAAACAAGGAGTCCCAGGTAGACTCTATTCATTGATGGGACAAGAGCAGTAAACTTGAGGGCACGTGGGTCTCTTGTTAGGACCACAAACATGTGAATTCCTCATGTTTCACTTGACCATGGGAGAGTCTGAGAAGGGATCCCTTAAATTAGACCACATACACAAAACCCTATTTTGTCAAGTCCCCATTAAATGTGTGTGACATAGTATGTCTAGAAAAAATGAGCAACGACTGAGTGGATAAAGCATTTGCTACCTAATCTTTACTGCACAGCAAATTAAACTCTGAGGTTGTGGATATAACCAAAGATGGACAGTAGAATCCTTTGTTGGGCTCCACTTTGACTATCAGGGTAGGAAGAATCGCCAACTGTGGGAGAAATCTAGAAGTAGTTTCCCAAGCAGAGAGCAGGATGGCTGGGAAGGAAGATGTGGATAACCCCCAGGCAGCAGAGGTTTCCACCCATCCCACATGCGCTTTCACTGCAAACAGGATAACCCACAAGGTACTGAAAACAGGGAGGTCACTGGTGCCTTTCCCGTGTCTGAGCCCTTAGCCTTGTAGAGGGAATTCTGGCGTGGTGCTCATAAAACACAGTGCCAAGAAGCAGCAATGGCATTTGAAGAGTCACCAGCAATGAGGGGCCAGCTTTATGGATGGGGCAGAAACTCCTGTATCAGCTCCCACCGACTCCATGCTCTCCAGTTAACCTTCTCGAGGAAGCTGCCATTTCAAGGTGATTACTCTGAACATGACGACAAGCGTTTCCAATGTGGAAGGAAATCACCAACAACAGAATCAGTCCCTGCCTCAGCCTTCATGGAGGATACTGGTACCCTGGCGTGGGACCCCAGCTGATGCCGCCCCCCGTGACCCAGGGCTGCCAGGCACCTTCTCCTGCTCTTCTCTGTGGGCTGTGTCTGTGCTTCTGGATCGTGTGTACAGCCTTGATTGTGAACAGCTATATAGCAGACAACTATGGCAGAGCCTGCTGCTGTACCCAAGCATTCATTCTCTTTCTCCTTTCACCAAGAAAATGAGTTTGGACCTCAAGCTTTCCTTCCTCATACCTGCTTATGTCAATTCATGCACGGATTTTTAAAATTCTTGCACCAAAATCTTTTTGTGATTCTCTTTCCCACAAACTTGTCAAAGTGCCCTCCTACATAACTTTGGGATTGTGCCCTTCTAAGGGAACCACCCTGACCCGCACTGCAACATCCCCTCGTCTCCCCTTCCTCCTTGGCTTCCTGCAGACTTGGCAGCCTTCAGCTCTGTAGATCAGGGGTGAACACCCTCCCAGAATAGAGGAGCAGTCAAAGGAAGGAACCCTGGCCATGGCCAACCCTGGCATCGTGCCATCCTACTCTAACTGGCCATGGCCAACCCCGGCACCGTGCCATCCTACTCTGCCTGGCCATGGCCAACCCTGGCATCGTGCCATCCTACTCTGCCTGGTCATGGGCAAGCTCTGGCACTGTGCCATCCTACTCTGCCTGACCATGGCCAACCCCAGCACCGTGCCATCCCACTCTGCCTGGCCATGGCCAACCCCAGCACCATGCCATCCTATTCTGTCTGACCATGGCCAACCCCAGCACCGTGCCATCCTACTCTGCCTGGCCATGGCCAACCCCAGCACCGTGCCATCCTACTCTGCTTCACGCTTTGATGCAGGCAGGAAAGGCTCTTGTTTTATCTAGGCCCCAGTCCATGTTGTTTCTATGAAACGGACTGAACCAATATTGGAAATTACTAAGGCATCTACATAGAAGTAAACTGACTTCTAAACCAGTTCCTTATGCTCCGCAAGGCATGTCCCCATGACTCCCAGCAACAATTGCCTGCGTTTTCCTCCCCAGGCAATCAGCAAATGTCACAAATACTTTACCTAATAGCCTGGCGGACTCACTCATCAGGTAGGAATTTATGCCCATCGTCAATAGTGATATTATTTGCACATAGAATATAAACTGCGAACAAAGCACACATTGCAGAAACATTAGACAGGTTCTCCAGACGGAATCCTTACTCAGTTAATCACCAGCACAGCTCTATCCCCACTGACATTTTTCTAATCCTCCCTTTGTTTTGCACATTGGGGCAACAGGGCTGTTTTGCAGAAGCAGCTTAAACACAGTACACTGCAGCAAAAATGCCCTTCCATCTGAATGAGTCAAAGCGGCAGGTCGATCCTGGGTTAGGGAGCCTGAGGGAAGAGCTCTCACAGCTGCCAGACAGCAGTCACCCAGAGCACACAAAGCCACTGCAGCCACAGACCCAGCTAGCAGGATACAGGCTGGAGGGAAACTCCACCACAAGCAGTTCAGAGGGTGACCCTTGCCTGTGGGTGCTGCACAGAGCCCCTGGGGGGCAGTCTGTGGGGCAGCTGGAGACGCACTGCGCAGGACAGAGACACAGCCAAGCCTTGGCTTGCTCTTCATGGGTCATGGTAGGTGGGGCCCATTAAGCTCCCTGGGCCAGTTAAGCACCCTGGGCCAGTTAAGCGCCTTGGGCCAGTTAAGTGCCCTGGGCCAGTTAAGTGCCCTGGGCCAGTTAAGCGCCCTGGGCCAGTTAAGCACCCTGGGCCAGTTAAGCGCCTTGGGCCAGTTAAGCACCCTGGGCCAGTTAAGTGCCCTGGGCCAGTTAAGCGCCCTGGGCCAGTTAAGCGCCTTGGGCCAGTTAAGTGCCCTGGGCCAGTTAAGCACCCTGGGCCAGTTAACCTCCCTGGGCCTCAGTGTCTGCCTTCACTGAAAAAATGGAGTTATTCACAATATTCCCTCCACAACGCCTTTCCCAGACTTGACTGATGAAGGGCTTGGGAGGAGCCAAGATAATTCTTGACATAAGACATAAGGAATTGGAAAATGACACCTCATGAGTTGCTTAACAGCTCACTGACTTGGTTTCAGGCGAATTCCTTTCATAAAGAGAATTCAAAGAACTCATACTTTGATATAAGTGGGTTTTTTCCCCCCATTGGAGCATGGAAGCTTCCAAAGTTTGCAGAACTTTAGGTTTGTTTCAACTTCTAGTCAACTTTCAGACCAGGCCTTCAGCTAGAAGTCCTCGGTGGTGAGGAATCTGACATGCCACTGAGACTAGAAGGCTAGAGTCAGGGACCCGAGTTTTCCTTGGCATGCTACATGCGGCATTTGGGCTTTTTTTTTGTTATTCCACATGTTAGAGGAAGAGGTTGACAGCTATTCCCAAAAAGAAGGCATTCAAAAAATACTCTGCTTCTTGGACCTTCTAGCACAAGACCAGAACAGCAAGGAAAAGAAAAATCCTGAGCTGGAAACCAGATAACATGGGGAATCTCCCTCCCTCTGGATTCCTTGGTAAGAAGGAAAGTGGCCTTCTGCTTACACTATTCCAGCGGTTTTTAACCCCCTCTCACTCCCCTGAGAACTAAGTGTGGGGTTTATCTGACTAACAGGTAGGGAGGGGCAGGTCCTGTGGTTTAGTTAGATGTCCTGCCTCCAGTGACAGGGCGCCCCCATGCGGCCAGAATATGCACTCCACACTCTGCTCAGAAATCTACTGAGAACTTTACAAAAAGTAAACTTTCAAAATTATCACTGGTGACATAAATACCACCTGATCCTTAACTCAGCATTTTATAAAATCCTCCTTCCACCAGTATACTTAATCACAAGTTCCGGTTTTTTCCTAGCATCAACAGGGATTAGACAGTCTCTTTAAGGGTACTGTTTTTTCATTCTTCCTGACAGCTCTTTTAAAATAGTATTTGTGGATCCAGCATGAAAGCTTAGTGGCCAAAGTCCTTACATTGCACCTGCCAGGATCCCATACAGGCACCAGCAGTTTGTGTCCCGGCTGCCGTGTTTCCCATCCAACTCCCTGCCTGTGGCCTGGGAAAGCAGTCGAAGACGGCCCAAAGCTTTGGGACCCTGCACCCATGTGGGAGACCCAGAAGAAGTTCCTGGATCCTGGCTTTGGATTGGCTCACATCTGGCCATTGTGGTCACTTGGGGAGTGAACCAGCAGATGCAAGGTCGTTCTCTGTCTTTCCAATAAATAAAATAGCACTTGTATGCTAAGCAACAGTCATTGAACATCTATAAAGTGTGAGATATTCACTAATCACCACAGTCCTCACCTGGAAACAGGCTGGCAAGGCTCAAGAATTTGGCCAAGGCTCCTCAGGATGTGAACGCTGGAGACAGGATGGGAATCTAAGCCTGTCTAAGACCATGCCCACAACTACTACAAGACTGTTAGTCCCTTTCACATGGTCAACACAGAAACTTTCCTCTGAGTCTATCTACTTGAAGAGAAACTTTATAAACAAATTTAAAATCCACTGCTGCCACTTGCAACAAAATGGTCCCAAGTAGAGATCATGATGCTAGTAAAATTAGCCAATCCCCAAAGGACCAATATCGTAGGTTCTCTCTGATCTAAGGCAGCCTTCCTACAAAACACAACATCAAGAGGTATATAGGTAAGCATGTGCGTGCACATATCCTGAAAGGACATGTGTGCTGGAGACCAGCATACAGAGGAGAAGATACAGTGCAGGCTGCATCTCTACTCCACAACAGGATCCTCAAGGATGCTGGACTTCTGCCGTTGTCCATACGTACAATGTCAGGATACACTTCAAGAGAGGAACGATGGCCCATGGACTAGTGTCTGTTGCAGAATAGTGTACCATTGTACTATTGTCGTAATATGAGGTGAAACATTGGGGGCAGGCAGAATAGGAAAATTCCTGAGCCCAAGGAACTATATCATGAAAAAAAATTAAAATTCATGTTAAAACTAGTTAACTTTACTACTGCATAGTCTTACAACTGCTATAAAATATGTAGACATAGATAGCTACAGCTCATTCATGAGACGTGGGTTCTCCTACCATATGTGGTGCCAGGACTTTTTGGCCAGCAAATCTATGAATATCAGGAGCCATGAGTATGCTAAAAATCCCTTTAATTCCAGACCATGCGATAACAAATCCCCATCGCCAGCTATATTCATAACTCCAGCGCATCAGAATGGGGCTCACCAAAACAATGGCAAGCATTCTGTGGAGAGAAAAGCATCACAATCTAACCACACACACCTTGAACACTAAGCATACCAGCTGGGACCATCTGCTTCATCCACATTTTCATTTTAAATTTTTAGTAAGGAGAAGACAGTGCAGCTTATTGAGAAATGATTCATATATTCTGATATTGCCTAAATCTGCTATCTAAATTTGGTATACAATATTCATCATTAAAAATGTTTAGAAGATCTAATATGAAAATAAGAAAACTTCATTAACCGTAGTGCACAAAATTTGGACTTGGAAAGTAAATTACAACTGGAAAATTTCTTCAAAGAACAGTGACAAGCTGCATCTACTGTACAGGTCATAGGATGACTGGATTCAGAGATTTGGGAAATTGTGAGATAACCTAAAATAAAATTATTATAGACCAATCATAATATAATCCATCAGAGTTTTTCTTGAATTCCAAAAAAATACACTAAATGTTATACAAATACTTTCAACTGTATCTGTAAGAAAATGGCTAGTGGTGAGGGCAACATTGTGGCCTAGCACATAAAGCCACTCCCTGAGGGGCTGGCAATGCTTAAGACAGTAAGTAGATCATGGCCTGGTTGCTTCACTTCTGGTAATCAGAAAAGATGGACCTGAGCCCCTCCCACCCACGTAGGAGACCCAGATAAAGCTGACTTTGGCTTCCTCCTGGCACACTGAACCCAGCCACTGCAGCCAGCTACAGAGGGAATCGGTAGATGGAAGATTCTGTCTTTCCCTCCCTCTCTGTGACTCTGCCTTCCAAATAAAAATAAAACAGATCTTTAAAAAAAGTAAAAAGAACTCCACAACTACCTAGGAAGTCCCAAAGAACTGACTTAAGTCTCCTTAAGCATGTATCTCTTTACGTTACTGTCACTTGTAGGACTGTCTTATCCCTCCAAATAGATTGAGTTTACTCACCTCTGTGACCCTTGAAATTTCAAAGAGCAAGTCCTGTTTGTGCTCACAAAGGCACTCCTTTTTGGACAGGGACATGCAGTTGTCATTTGCCAGAGATGGAGGTGGAGATGCGGGAACTGACAGAGACCACTGGACACAAGCTTTCTAAGTTAAACAATCGGTTACTTCTTAAAGCCAACTTGCATACATGTACAACTTTGTAAAAATGCGTACAAATGAAACTGTTGTCAGCAACACAGTTTTTCCCTCACTCCAACGGCTTTTTGCTTTCCAGTTCTCATTCTGGGCTCGGGCCCCTAAATTCTAAAACAGTATCTGAAACATAATTCTTACCTTACCAAATTTACTGATGTAAACAAGATGATCACAAACACTACAGTGTGAAAGCTAAAATACTTTGTTTCTCCACATCCAATCACAATGCCAAAGAAAGTGTATATTAGATTTTGGTATACAGATGATAACATTGTTAAAAACCTAGGACAAATAAAAAGAAAGCCACGGATTTAAACAATGCAAAGCACATTTTAAATATTTTCCAATTTTACATAAAAGAGCGTATTTTTGTGTCTGCCACTTGGATCTCAACAGGAACAATCTCCTTCACCATCGTCAACATTTGGAAGAATGTCATAGGGGAACCCAGAGAGATGGCTCAATGGCTAAATCCTCACCTTGCATGGGTCAGGCTTCCATACGGATGACGGTTTGTGTCACACATGCCCTACTTCCCTTCCAGCCCCCTGCCTGTGGCCAGGGCAGGAAGAAGCCTTCGGCGCCTGCACCTACAAGGGAGACCTGGAGGAGCTCCTGGCTTTGGGCCAGCTCAGCTCTGGCTGTTGCGGCCATTTGGGGGTGAATCAGTAGATGGAAGATCTTACTCTCTCTGTTCTCCTTCTGTCCATAAATTTGATCTATTTTTCTGATAATAAATACCATTCTGAAGGCTGTGTTGCTGGATGGAGACATGCCCAGTTTCACATCCCCAGTTGCCTTCATTCCATCAGTATCTACGAACTGCCTCTCAGGACAGAAAAGGCAAGGCAGAAAAATGAACACTTTCCCATTGTGTGCACCCACTGAGTCTTGGGGACCAACTGATGGTGTGTCGCTGTGGGCCTGTCACCACCATCCAGAGCTGTCAGGTCACAGCTGGCTGACTCCTGTCACCACCGGGCAGAGCTAGCAGGTCACGGCTGGCTCACTCCTGTCACCACCAGGCAGAGCTGGCAGGTCACGGCTGGCTGACCAACCGACCGAGGGCTGACTGATGGTGTGTCGCTGTGGGCCTGTCACCACCAGCCAAAGCTGGCAGGTCACGGCTGGCTCACTCCTGTAACTGCCAGGCAGAGCTGGCAGGTCACGGCTGGCTGACCGACTGACCAACTTGGGGCTGACTGATGGCAGGCTCTGCACAGCTTCTCCCTTGGTGACTTGTACATGTGTCCTCTACTCTGAAAGTCTGTGTTGTCTGTTTTCACACCCACTGAATTCCTAATGGTCTTGCCAGGCTGACTACGTCACACTACTCCAGGAAACCACCTGGTGCGCTCTAGGTAGAAGTGATTCGCCATTGAATCCCTTCGGGTTGGTTGTCTGCACCACGCGGTTCTGACGGGGAAGCTGGTACTACAATCACGCAGATTGCCAAGCTAACCCCTGAAACACAGTTCTTAGGGTCTGCTCGCCTGTGGTAGCCAAACATGACCCTTCCTTTTCTTGATTCCCTCTCTTGGGACTTAGCCTTACAGCTCAGTGGTAACTGTGTGTGCCCCTCAAGCCATTTCCTTACGGACAATCTCAAGGAAAAGCCGCATTTCAGTCTGCAGACACCAGCCATGTTCTGACGTCACAGCATTACCCCAAGCCTACAGCTTGAGTCTGGATGACTCCTGGTGCCTAACTCAATGGATCTATAGGGAGAAGATACAGCAGGAGGGCCTAAACACCCAGTGTGTGGCTTTCTGCAAACTCAGAACTCACAGAATAGCTGAAGTGACTATACTTAAAAAAAAAAAAAAAAAAAAAAAAGACTCTCTAAAGGAACTGAAAAGATGCCTTACATATAATCAGATCCAAATAAATACATAATTCTTCATGTTCATCATTAGATTCTTGCATACAACATGTCTGCCCTTTCCTCCTGAGTGTTTTCTGAGAAGTGGCTTGTTTCCATAACACCACACCTGAGATGTAACACCTGGGACCCAGTAGACAAAGGTGGGCTGAGGGGGTGAGAGAAGCAACTGGGTGAACACAATGTCTCACTTACAAGGAGGCTCTCATACAGACTGCTCAAATTCGGAACCACCGCCAAGCGTGCTCTATAAGCATCTGGGTCTTTAAATAACAGTGAAGTTTTATTTACATGCACACAAAACTAGAATCGTTCCAGGTGCCAACTCTTCACCCAGGAGGGCAAGAAAGGGCCCTCTCGTCTCTGAAATGTCCCGAAGGAGAGTTGGGGCGTCAACAGAGCAGAAAGGACACAACTTCCACCATAATACTTTTTCACAGTGATTTTTGTGGAGATTTTTTTCTGAAGGCATGGTTTATTTTTCTCATTTTAGCATGTGGTCTCATGCACTGAGAGAATTCCCGCCATGCACTAGTCCATGATTCGGTGTTGTGTGTCTCAGCAGCCATTCAGGGCAGTGCCTTTGGTGGGAAGGCAGCATGTGAACTGCCAGAGCCCAAAGACACCCGGTGAGCTAGGCGCACTACCAGCTATAAAGGGTGGGTGAGCTGTGCCGGCATTGCTGCTCTCCTAGCCCTTTCCACGTCAGCACACTGTACCTCAACTAACTCCACAAGGAAACTAAGGGCAGGAAGGAGTCTTTCTTTTTATTAATTGCCACAATTCAAAGTAATCATAAAAATAATCAATATTGGTGACTGCTTGTACCTTAAGTTCTTTTCAAGCAGAACTGATAGCACAATTAATCATTTTAAAGTAGAGAATCCTTAAATAATGGACATTTTATTAATGTCCACACAGGCAGGACCCTTTCAGCCCAATATTTCTCTCATGAGATGATACCAAGTACGCAGCAGATAACTTACTTAGTGAGTAGGAACTCCATGCTTGGCTTGAAGCTTAAGGAATCTAAATTCAGCCCGAGAGCGATTAAAGCAACAATGCCCGACATTCCACAAAATTCCACTGAGGAGGCAAAGTGAATAGATGAGACTAAATGCAATCAAGTCTCCAATGGAGAGACTTGGTACTAAGTGAAGACCCTGGAGAGCCCTTTCCGGAAGGCTGAGTCAGGTGCATGGCGTAACCCTGCACAGTTGCTTTAAAGGCTGCATTTGTCAAATGGCTGTGGGCATCCAGCACCTGCCTCAGCTGCTCCACCCGGATAGCATGCAAAGAAATGAGTGTTCCAGACACTGAAATCTGAACTTCACATTATTTCCACAGACCACAAAATATTTGCCTTTAGTTTTATGTTTTAAAACATTTTAAAATACAGGGACCATTCTTATATGAGTTCACAGACTGCCAAGTCCTGCTGCAGACTGTCACACAGGACTCATGAAAAAGCAGTTTAAGCACCTCTGTCCTGCACCTGTAGGGCATGGCACTGGGAGTCCTGGGACAACCTCAGGGTTAGGGCAGAGAGCAGAGTAGAAGAGAAGGGAGGGGAGGGGAGGGGAGGGGAGGGGAGGGGAGGGGAGGGGAGGGGAGGAGAGGGGAGGAGGAGAGGAGAGGGGAGGGGAGGGGAGGTAAAACAGGAGAGTTTTGGAGCAGCCGCAGTATTTGCTTGTGGAATGTGTCCTCCCAACTCCATTAGCATCCCTACATCTGTAGACTAGATATAAAACATCAAGCTTCATAAAGTTATCATAAAGATTAGTTCAGATTACATTTAAAGTGCTTGGCACACTTAGAAAGCAATGAATAAATTACAATTACTATGCTCCTATTTTATCTTTTTATTGCTTACTTTACTAATATTATTTGTTAAAGAGGATTTTATTATTCCTTTGGTTTATCCAAGCATTTTGGCTCACTTTAGACATTAGGTAGCTATAATCACAGTATAGTTTTTAAGGAAAATTACCAACTTCTTTAAGACTGATTCTCAGAGACCTGTGCCCACTTAGGAAAGTTAATTGTCAAATGTTTTGATAATTTTGTTAGCCACCTCCAGCACACTTGCTGGAGTGATTCTCATACCACACGGCATCTCAGTGAGACCTGCCAGCTTCTGTAAGCTAGAGCACATTTGTGGAGGAAGAAACAGAAGCTTAGAGACGTGAGAGAGTTTTTGTGTCCCTGGGACGTGAGTGCAGGTCTGCCGAACTTCCAAGCCCCTCAAGGACTGTCAGCGGCGTGTTAGGCCAACACATGTCTCATGGCTACTGGGCATGCAGCAAGCCTTGAACTTGTTTGAGGGAAGATCGGAGAGAGAGGAGGACGATTATGTAGCAACCTTTGCCTCAGAAACTCTAGCAGGAGAATGACTCAGACTTTCAAGGCATCCTTCAGACAAGTCCAGGAGAGAGGAAACGCAGAACCGGAAACTGGAAGTCGGACGCCGGAAGCCAGAAGGGGAGGCAGGCGGGCAGGGAAGACAGAAACGGAAACCAGAAGCCGGAAGCCGGAAGCCGGAAGGGGAGGCAGGTGGACAGGGAAGGCAGAAACGGAAGCCGGAAGGGCAGGCAGGCAGGGAGGGAATCACTGTAGCTACAAAACAATACCATTGAAAATAGTAGTAAAAATCTTTAAAAACAAGTTGAACAAATATTGAAATGCTGTGCTGACCAGCACAAAAACGTAATCACCAACGTTATCATGGATATTGTTTTCTTCTATAGATGTAAAGGTATTTGACAATGTGTTTGCTTTCCAGTAGCTAATAACATTTTGTCCACATTAAGCATTCATTTTCTGAAGTTCAACTATTTTGAAAGTATGTGCCTTTCTTTTTCAAATTGCATGCTTTCATTTTAAAATCACCAGTAACTGCATCCCAATTTTTTTTTGAGGAAAATATGCAATAAATAAATTACCTCAGTAATTTTTTTAATCCCCTCAACGTGGCACTCACTAAATTCAAGATTGTTGAGCGGCAAAGCACCTCAGGAGTGCCTCCCTCAACTCTGTCCTTTTACAAAGGGACTGATCAGGGTGAGGGCAGCCAGGAGCCACCTTGACTTCTCAGGGCTCTCAACAGAGCCACTGTGTACCCTGAGAGGAACGCCGAGGAGAAGGGGCCTCAGGGCCATACACAGACCGAGCAGAGACCTGGAAGGAACCGCAGCTTCCCATCCGGATGGGCTGCTACTCAAGAATTAACAGAACACAACAGTGTGACACACGGAGGGGCCACAAAGAGGCGAATTCGGACAGCAGTAACTGGGCTGGATGTCCCAGGGAATGCAGAGGCCTAAGGACAGCAGTTTTGGGTGTTTCTGCCTTACCGAGGTAGAAAATCAAGTACACCATGGAGACACAGAGAATGACGTTGCTCCGCATCTTGCTGTGAAGTTCAGACAGCATGGACGGGATCAACCTTGAACACAGGTACCCGCAGAGGGCGCTTCCACAGATGTCCTTCAGGATCTCCATGAGCACGTGTATCTCTGAGGAACAAAGCAACTGGAGCTGTGACCCTGCGCCTGCTCTTGAGAGAGTCCTCTAGCTCTCTCTGCAGATCCTCCCCTCACGGCCCGCAGCTGGAGCATTCCTTCTCAGTGGATCCTTCACTGCCACAGGAGGCAGGCAGGAATCACACATATGAAAACTATGTGACAGGGCCGGCACAACAGCTCAACTGACTAATCCTCCATCTGCAACACTGGCATCCCATATAGGCACCGGTTCAAGTCCCAGCTGCTCCATTCCCCTTCCAGCTTCCTGTCTGTGGCCTGGGAAAGCAATAGTGGACTGCCCAAAGCCTTGGGACCCTGCACCTAAGAGGGAGAGTCAGGCAGTTCCTGGCTCCCAACTTTGGATCAGCTCAGCTCTGGTAGTTGTGGCCATTTAGGGAGTGAACTAGCAGCTGGAAGATCTTTCTCCCTGTTTCTCCTTCTCCTGTAAATCTGCTTTTCCAATAAAAATAAATAAGTCTTAAAAAAAAACTGCAACAAACTGGAAGCTCAATATTCAAACAAAAGACACCCAGATTCAATTTTTTTTAACAAATCATTGCAGGAGCAAACAAATCACACACAGTCTCTTTTTCATTTGTGTTTGAAAAGCAGAGCCAGAGCAAATGGAAGATCTACTGTGTGGGGTTCAATCTCCCAGTGCCCGCCATGAGGCCAGGCTTGAGGCGTGCACTGTGCTTCTCACAGCTCACAGTAGCAAAGTTAGGGTTAGGGCTAGGGTTGGAAGCAATGCTGGCTTTGACACCCGATCACTTCAACACGGATGTCGTCCTCCCTGTCCTGTCATCCTCCCTGCTGCCCAACACCTGCTCAACACCTGTCCTTTGGCTCCTGTTAGTCTCTTTTTTTTAACTATCACACAAATACATTAGTAGGACACTTTTCCTCTTTCATTCTGTGATAACCATCCCTGCCCCTAAATTTTCTACTAGTACTACATCTAGAAATCTAACAAGGAAACACTTTTCACATTCTAGTGAGCTTTCACCAGAAGAATCCAGCTATGGTCGTTTCAAGGGCCCGACTGGCCAGTGGTACATGAAGCATCATGCTTTCACCCTTTTACCCAAATCCAGGGTCCACACGCCCTGAGATGCAGACGGACCCAGGCAAGAAGTCGGTGTGAGCCAGCGGATGCAATGCTCTGCGTGCACACAGGGATGGTCAGCCAAGGGGATGGAAGAGAACATCCCTGGACACATAAAGAAAGAAACCACACAGCTGGAAACTGTGTTCTGGTACCCGACATTTTCTGGTCCATGTAGATACAAGCAGAGGGAAAGCAGCAAAGTTTCAAACATCCTGAATGGATTTTTATCTCAATAAGAATGATTTTAGAAAATATACAGACAAAAAAGCAAACCCTCCTACCACTAAACAGAGTCACATGCATGGGCTGGCTCCGGAACATTCCAAAAAATATGGCCGTGACACCACAGACGATCAGTGACTCTCCTCTAATGATATCGGTATACATTTTGGAACCTCCTGGAAAAGAAAATATAAAGTAAAATTTAATGAAATAAGTGAAAGTTCTACTCACACATGAAAAATGTAAGAAAAAGGACTAGAACAGGGAACGTGCCCAGTGCTGAGTGCAGTGGCATGCTGGATGTGGGCAGCGCCCTGGGCTGATGTGTCCTTCCCAGGGCAGTGACCTCTCTGTGCAGCCTCCTTGGTCTCATCCCACAGGAGCTTCACAGGGACACAGACACTTCTCAGGACGCTGTGTGAAGTTTGGCTAAGTAAATGAGAACCACACTAGAAAGAATTCTTTCTTTAGGAATAAGGCCAAATAATGACCAGCAATGCCACTCCTAGGTTTTCACAAAGGACACCTAAATATATGCACCACACAAAGAAAGAACAAAACCATGCACCTAGAGGTTCATAACAGAATGACTCTCAAGAGCCAAAACATGGAAACAACTCAGGGTGCAGCCGCTGACGAACGGAGAAGCACACATCATAACACGGCAGACCAAGCCAGGCGCAGAGTGGCTGCCCCCGGCCACCCCTTTATCTGGAGCTTTGCTATCCACAGTTTCAGAAGCCCGCAGTCAACTGTGGTCCAAAAGCATTAAGAGAAAAATTCCAGAACTTAAAAAAAAACTCACTAGATGTTTTGCTCTGTTTTTGTAAAGTTTATTTAAAAGCTGAGGAAATCACAGACACACCATCAGAGAGAGAGCGGGCAGGGAGGCGGAAGGTGGGGGACTGTTTCCCCTGTGTCCATGGTCACAGGGAGAGAGCATACCTCTTCCCATCAGGCAGCTTATCCTGAGCCAGGGAAGGGGCGGGGGGCGGTACCTGATATCGCCCCCTCAAAGAAAGTCATGCGTTTTAAGTAACTTGTTATAATGCATTATTATAATTGCATCTTCTGATTGGTTATTACTGTTCATTATGCCTAATGTGTAAATTAAGCTTCGTGCTCTGCATGTGCAAAGCAAACGTGTCGACTGAAGAGCCACCCGCTCTGACTTTCAGAAGGGCACATTCGGGGCACTACTGTGTAGTCTCCAGAATATACTGAGAAACCAAAAATGCCAGGGGCTTGACAAATTCCACATCCAAATTTCTCTCTGATGCCATTTTATTTATTTATTTATTTATTTTGGATGACCTGAAAGGCTGCTAACATTTTCTGATGTGTAGATGGGCTCATGATAAATTACTTCAGCTATTGTATGCTTAAAAACCACTTATTTCCTCTTCACTTTGAGATTTTCCTGAGAATTAACAATAAAAATGGGATGCTTCACAAATGTATGTGTCATCCTGCACTAGGACCATGTCAATCATCTCTGTATCATTCCAGTTTGAGCACATTTGCTGTAACAATGACTATAAGTATGGATCTTAAGTCAGTAGAATCTTCCTCTCAGTCTTTGAAAAGTATCGAGGCACCACTGTTCAATTGCGTTGCTTCTCAAGTGTGTCATTGTTACTAGCTTTGTTTCTCTCAGTGTGCGCCTTTTTTCCTTTCGCTACTTTACCATGTTTCACTGGCTGTAAGGGCTCTGATTCCATGTTGGCCTTGCTGAGCATTGTCCATCTGTGGCTTTGTTTCCATCAAACTGGAACACTGAAATGTTTTTACCGCTCCCTTCCTCTCTCTCGGGGACTCATACATTGTGGTTGAGGCTGCCCCACAGCTCACTCGTGCTTGTGGCTTGTTGCCTGCCACAGGATTTTCCCCCCTGTGCACATTTCATCTTGGACGAGCTCCATTCGCTCACCCTTCCCTCTGCTGCCAATCCTGCCAATCCAATGTGTTTTTCATCCTAGACTTTCTTTCACCTGTTAGAGGTTTACTGATACAAAGGGCTCAAAAAAGTGTCATGTATATGAGTGAAATTGACAGGGGTTGATTATTTTTAACAGCTCTTCCTATCGTCTTGAGGAAGAGTGGTTCTTCTACTCACCAGTTGTTGGGTTCTGTATTTTAGCGGAGGGGTAAGCTTGCGATCATACAGAAAATTTAAAGGATGACATTGTGGGAAAAGTAAGAAAAGAAGGAAGGAGTGTAGGAAGTATTATGTTCTTAAGACTGCATATATGAAATGCATGAAATTTGTTCCCATTTTATAAATTTAAAAGATTCAAAAAAAATTTCAACCTTTTATCTATTATGTCCAGTGGTGTGACACATCAGCTCTCCAAAACTAAGTTTAAAAGAAACTTACTTCCAAAAACTTCCACCCGGCCAATTCTAAGCTACCAACAGTTTAACAATCAGCTTTCAAAATCCCTAATGATTTAATAATTGGTTCTCATACATTCATATGAATTAATTTCTGCCCCAAATTCAACGTTTAGCCTCACGACTGCCTGAAGCATAACTATAATTAACTTAATGTTATTAAGCTTAATGTAATGTCTTAATGTTTTCATCCATTAATTCTATCATTGTTGAGTCGGCTTCTACTCATAATTTTTGTACTTTGTGAATCATTTTTCCTGTTTCTTTGCATATCTGGTCCCCTTTTAAAAAAGATTTATTTACGCTTATTGGAAATGCAGATTTACATAGAGAGAAAGAGATCCAAAGAAAACAGTCTTCCATCTGCTGGTTCACTCCCCAAGTGGCCACAGTGGTCAGAGCTGAGCTGATCCAAAGCCAGGAGCCAGGAGCTTCTTCTGGGTCTCCCACGCAGGTGCAGGATCCCAAGACTTTGGGCCATCCTTTACTGCTTTCCCAGGCCATAAACAGGAAGCTAGATGGGAAGTGGAGCAGCCAGGACATGAGCTGGCGCTCATATGAGATCCTGGCATGTGTAAAGCAAGGATTTAGCCACTGAGCCATCACACAAGACCCATTTGGTCATTTGCAGTTGGATGACACAATTGTATTTTTTCTCCTATTAATGAAGTATTGTGTACATTATATTCCTATAAATCTTTCTGAGCTTCATTCAGAGTCCGTGTCAGCCCTTCCAGTCGTGAGGTTAAGCTCTGTCAGATGGTATCAGAGCAGCCTTTAGTCCAAGGCCATGCTCCCTGCTCCTTCAGGTCATGAGTAAGGAGGGTCCTCCATTCCATCGAAAACAAGAAGGACGTTGGTGCCTTCGTGCTTTCTAGCTGTTGCTTTCTCCAGCCTTTCCCTGCTTGTACTCACGAGGGCTTGCCCACACTGAAGGAGGAGCCTCTGCTGGGACATTGCCTGCCAGGCAGTGTCATCCTGAGGACTCCAGCTGCTCTGGCCCCTCGACTGTCCGCTGGAGATCTCCCCAGCTCAGTGCACTCAGAGCAAACACTCTCCTGTCACGTGGCTATGAAAGTCACCAAGGACACTCTGCTCTCCTGCCTCATGGCCAAAGCCTGAGCACAGGTTTGTTGCTGTCTTTGTTTTTGTCTAGGCGTTTCTTCCAGTGCTCCAGCAGGAAGGTAAATCCAGCCCCTGTTAGTGCATCTAACCATGAGGGAATCTAAGTGAAGGGGCCTTGTCTCCAGTGAGTGTGGGCAACCCCACTCCTGCCATGGACTTTTTCCCTTTAAGGGCATAAACCCAAGCTTAAGAATACAGACCCACATTGGTGTATCATGCACCTAATGCAATTACAAATTGATGTAGAAAGCATTGCCTTGATAAAGATATTCATCTATCGCAGCAAAACCTAAACTGATCATATGAAGCGATGTGATTATTTTTTAAATCCAAGTGGAGCTGGACCTGAGTAATGCCCTGTACCTTTGCCTTTTGGGGGTTTTCAATCATATAATAATTGTTATTATTTGTAAGGATGCTTCATTTAAAATAAATGTTTCCTTTTTAATGTATAAAGATGTAAAGTATCAATCAAGACGTTCAGACGGTGTCCACGTTTGTGAATAAATCCCGAGTGACAGGGCGACTACTGGACTATGTACCACCTGCTTCTGGGTTCATGTTTGTTCCTGTTCCTCCTGCTTCATGGCGGCAGCCCCCAAACAAATGCAGTCAACAAAATGTGCTGTAACCATCCTCATCTTGCAGCCTGTTGTCGACTCCGCAATGGCAGGATGCAGCAGCATGCTGGTCAGGCAGGTCTGGAGGGTGTTCACACATTTGATTTCTCTGGGGAAGAAACTCCTCAGTCGCCTGTCTGAGATTCAGTGAGTCAACAAGCAGCACCTAACCTGTAAGCTCCAGCGCGGGAAGTTTTGCAGCTGAACATAGTTCTTTTCAGTAATAAAACATACAGAAAGAAATGACAATGTTTGAGGGGATATTTATGTCTACCCAGATTTAAATATTACCTAACAAATACATGGATGGAAACATCACCTCATGCTCAAGAAATATGTGAGATTTTTACATATCAGTAAAAAGCGATACTTCAATAATTGGCAATCACCACCATCATGTGCAACCAACCTTTACTGATTTGTTGTGAAATTTGTAAAAATTGGAAAAGATAAAAGTAAAAATCACCCACAACCCAGCTGTGATCTTTCTTCAAGTCTTTTTCTAAATGTAGAATTCCTTTTAAACAGCTGAAATCATACTAAAACTTTGGGTTTTAGTTCAAGGTCCTCTTATTAATCTGCTTTAAAATAAGAATTGAGTTCTTTACTTGCCTTTAAAACAGTAATGGAGAGCCTTTCCAACAAAAGGAAATAAATATATATTTTTTTAAAAAAGTAGATAATGAACGGACATGTTTCTTTAAACTTGCATATAGCCGTTACTCTGTCCAGAGGAGGCCCAGCCCTACACCCATGGTGCAAAGAGCACCCCTCCAGGACGCGCCAATCACGCTGTGGAAACTGTGTCTGGTATAGTATGGTAATGTGGAGAATGTAGAAAAAAATCATTTTCCTCATAAAAATTAGCTTATTATAACTATTAGGTGGAGAGCTGTTTTTTTTGTTTTAGTTTTAGGTTTTTTTTTTTTTAATTGGAAACTCAAATATTCAGAGAGGAGGAGAGACAGTGAGAAAGATCTTCCATTTACTGATTCACTCCCCAAGCAATTGCAATGGCCAGAGCTGAGCTAATCCGAAGCCAGGAACCAGGAACCTCCTCTGGGTCTCCCCATAGGTACAGGGTCCCAAGGCTCTGGGCCGTCCTCAACTGCTTTCCCAGGCCCCAAGTAGGAAGCTGGATGGGAAGTAGGGCTGCCAGGATTAGAACCGGTGCCCATAAGGGATCCCAGTGCATGCAAGGTGAGGGCTTTGGCCACTAGGCTACAGCGCTAGGCCCGATAAACTGTTTTTAAGAAAAAATTCATTTATCTAATTCAAACAAAGGAACTACATGGTAGTCCTACCAACATCAAAATAAGTTAATGTTGGTTTTCCCCATAAACACAAGTTGAGTTCATCTTTCTAGGAAAAAAAATTGTTACTTATCCAGACCCTAAATAACACCTGAACATCCTCGACATAAAGGAAATGTCAATGTAGGCCTGGCCAAACTTGTGTGACTTTTCTAAAACAGAAGATTTTCTACTAAATCGCTCTTTTACAAAATTAACACAAAAACCACAATTGTATGTAGGGAAATGGCCAGGATAAAGGAACTTTATGACGTGATGTCAACTTACTCCAGCAAATAAACTAGAAGTGGTACAGGAGTCCGCAGCTTTTTCGGGATCAGCTTCTGTTGAATGTATATTGACTGCCCGATTGCATCTTTCCCCCTCTTCTTTAAAATAAACGACCGAAAAATAATAATAATAACAAAATAAACGACCACCCTGGCCATCACTGTCCAACCTCAGGAGGCAGTTTTGACAAGAAGTAACAAGGCTTTGGACAATCTCATGAGAGGCTTTGTCTGTGCATTGGCAGAGGAACTCACCTACTTAGAATCTCTATTGTGTAGCCTAGAATTCAATGGAATGGAATAAAAATATCCATTTTTGTCACCAAGATTATGATTTGTTCTTGAGGGGAAAGAAAAACTACTTTGCTATTCTATCTGATGCTCTTTCTTTCACACCCTCAGTGGCCGCACCACTTTCCACACGTCAGTCAGTACGCAATTCCCAGGAGAAACCCCTCCTCCACCAGTACTGATTCAAGAATACCATGCTGCTTCCTGCCTTCAAGATAAGCGGAAGAAGCAAGTCTGACATACCAATAATTTTTAGAGCGTTCACCGAATAAAAAGGATCTGTAATGGCAAGGACGATGCTGAACAGCAGGCAGGACTGCGGGTCCCAGGCCTCCGGATTGAAGTTCATAACCACGTATCCAATTAGGATGAATGACGTTACAAAGCTGATCAGTGTGGTTAGCAAGACCTGTGGGCCAATGAGAGCACGGCGTTATGGTCAGCATCTAGACTTAGCAAGACCTGTGGGCCAATGAGAGCACGGCGTTATGGTCAGCATCTAGACTTAGCAAGACCTGTGGGCCAATGAGAGCACGGCGTTATGGTCAGCCTCTAAAGCTGGCGTGGGTGCATCTGCCTATGCTGTGACAATCCCATGTGGGTTACAAACATACAAATCCTCTGGAAAATGCGCTTTGACCGGCATTCTAGCTTAACTCCCTCAAAGAAACCATCCCATTTACACAGCGGCATTCAGTCTTACTGTTGGAAAGATCGGCTCAACCCTCTTTCTTGCCGCTCTTCCACCTAAGAGTTCTCAATGTCAGAACATTCTTGACACAGAATGCAAGTGTCTTTCTCCTCCCTCTGTATAAAACACATTCTTCTTTCCCTCAATGGAGGGATTTTTATTCATTGTCAAGCAGATCGTACTGTAGTGTAGAAGAGAAACACCATGAAATGCTGAAATCAAATTATTTGCAATTTCTTGCTTTCAACACATTATTTGTGTCCAAGTCAAAGAAAATTACCCCTCAAGGAAAAAATACTTGTGTTAGTCATTCTTTTTCTTATTTTCCACTTCTGCTCTTTGTTCCATTTTCCATGAAGTTCCCAGGTTCCCATAACTTTCCCCCTAAATACTTTTTGTTGAATTTATTTCAGATATCATATTTTCACTTTTCAATACTTATTTCTGGCTCTTCCTCTCTTCTTAACGTGATTTTACTCCCACTGTTTCTGCAAGGCTATAAACTATATATATTGGGAAGTTTTCTCCTGTCCCTTTTCTTTCTTCTTTTAGATGATGCTTACATAGTTGATCAGGGTGGGAAGGATCCAGGGTTAAGGAGAAGTGGGTGTGATAATTGTTTCCAAGCTATTTCTTTTTCCCATTTTGGGGGCGGGGAGAGACAAGGGGATAGGCCATACCCAACCTCCCCACCATCCCAGTACCCAAGGATGGGGAGAGGCCACCTGATATCAACCAGGGTCACATGGCACAAGTTTCGAAGGTTCTACTCAGGTGGATGAGATAATTTCGAAATGCTGTCGATTTTGCAGATCTATGAATGAGGAATCCTTTCCAAGGTCCATTGGCTGACACAGTTAACCTTAGAGTCTCCAATCGCCCTGATGTTTGCTGTCAGTATTTGGCCAGGGTAGTTGTCCATATGTTCTGCTCTCCATACTCTGCTATGGTACCAGATGTCCTCTGCAGGCCCCGATGAGCTACCATGTCCTCCATGTGCATCATGGTCTGCCATCCAGCACTCCATCCTCTACACTGAGGAGGACCAGTTCTCCCAGGTGGGCTCATGAGCCTGAGCCATGCAACCCAGGACCTGCCAGACCCCCACCTCAGGGCTCACGGACCTGGCCCCCATCACAAAGGCAGTCTCAGCGACCTGGACCAGGAGACCCAGGCCCCTCAGGGCCCCCACCCTGGGGCACACAAATCCAGTACCCACTTTGTAGGTGGACCCTAGGACCTGGGCCAGGAGACTCAGGGCCCACTAGACTCCCCACCCCTCGGGGCTCATGGACCCGACACCCACCACCCCCAGACTGACATGGCCCATCTTTCTTTGGCATCCACCAGTGGATACTACAGCCTAATTTGATCCAATCTGCCCCCAGTTTCAGCTTATGCTAGTTGGTGCTGCAGTCTAGCCATTCCCAGTCATAGCCCAGTCCCAACTCGAGTGTGAATTGGCTGGTGATGCAGCCCAACTCAGGTCCTCATGTACCCAATCTGGGTCTCGGAGCTGCCAGGGGATGTTACGAACTGGCCCAGCCTGACCCACTCCCTGACCTGACCCACATGTAGGTACTGTAACCTGGTCTGGTTTGGGCTGCTCCTTGCCTTGGGTATTGTGCTTACCTGCAGGGACTGCAACCTGACAGAGAAGTTCACCAGACTCCACTATTCAGTCTCCTCCCAGTGGCACATCTTGCACACACCAGTGGGTCCCTGGCCCAAGTTGACTTCGACCACCTTTGGTCCTGGCAGAAATGGTGTCCTTGCCCAATCAGCCTATATCCTTTCCAGTTCTTTCTGTTGGGTGTTACAGCCCATCCACACTTGGTCCGTTCCCAGACACAGCTTTCACATGATTCAGTGGGAGCGAAGACCTAGCCCAGCCCATTCTACAAGAGTGGCCTCATCCATGGAAGTTCCAGGAAAGTCATTCTCACCTGGACCTGAACCCTATGGCCTTTGCTAATCCCCACCTGTGCCATCTCCCAGACTCCCTGTAAGCCCACACCCCCAGGATTCCAGAGCACATTGCTGGGTGGCCCGTGGGCTTGGTCAGGATTCCCTCAGCAGCCACCATGCAGCTGGGAGAGTCGAGCACACATGCCTCCACGTCAAACTCACCTGGGCTCCCCTACCACCAAGATGAGGCAGAGCCAGGGTCCCGCCTGCCAGAGCAGCCTGACATCCCCCACGGTGTGATGACTGTGGACAGAGACATCTCTCAGGCCTCAACAAGCTCAGGATTTGCCCACCACCTGGTAGCAGTGGCTAGGGCTGGGATCCCAAGCATGGAGCCTGAGCCAGCCTGGATTCCCCCAAGCAGCTGCCATCAGTTGGGAGAATCAAGCACCTGTGCCTCCAGGTCAAACCCACCTGGGTTCCCCCCACCAAGATGGTGGTGGTGGGCCTGTCCCTTACTTTCATTAAGAACGAATATTGTGTCCCGTGCAATAGCCTAGTGGCTATAGTCCTTGCCTTGTACACAACAGGATCCCATATGGGCTCCAGTTCTAATAGCGACAGCTCAACTTCCCATCCAGCTCCCTGCTTGTGGCCTGAAAAGCAGTCGAGGATGACCCTAGGCCTTGAGACCCTGCACCTGCATGAGAGATCTGGAAGAAGCCTCTGGCTCTTGGCTTCGGATCAGCTGAGCTCTGGCCATTGTGGCCACTTGAGGAGTGAATAAGCAGATGGAAGATCTTCCTCTCTGTCTCTCCTCCTCTCTGTATATCTGAGAGAGGAGATTTATCTTTATTTATCTTTATTTATCTTTCCAATAAAAACACATAAATCTTTAAAAAATGAATGTCAATCTTTATCGATGTTGTTGTATATTTAGTCTGATGTCACATGGCTTTTCTCAAAAGAATCTTCTTCTTGCAGCCGCTAGAGGGCTCCAGCGAGAAAGACAGGTGAAGGGGGAATGCCAGCTGATTGGGCTATTTTACAGAATTTTCTTAAAGTTTATTCAACAAATGCCTATACGCATCTAATTGGTCAAACTGTCTTCCTGGCCTACCATAGCTGTAAAAATGTATTTTACAATGACCCACTGTTAAAGCCTACCCAAAAATAGCAAAATTCTGTTGGTGAAAAACAGCAAGAGTGCATGTTAGAGAAGTAATTAGTAGTGTTAGGAGTGCTTACCACAAAAAAAAAAAAAAATAGAAATAGAACGTGAAGAGTCTGAACAAAAGAATAGGAGACTAAAGAAAAGTGAATCAATCCAATTGACTGCCAACTAAGATAATCAAGATTTTTTTTAAAAGCATAGAATATAAAAAGCATAAAATACGCGTGGAAAAATTCCAGTCTAATCTTGGGATCTTTTATTGCTTCCGAGGTGCCTCTTTTGCGGTTCAGTCATGTGAGTTTCGCCGAGTGTGTGTGGTCACATGGTGGCAGCCACATTTAAGAAACAAAGCTCGTCTGTGACTTTCTGAAATCCCTCGGGTTCTTGTCAATTCCTCCCCTTGCCCCAAGTCCCAGAAAATCAATGGTGATTTTTCTTTCTCCAAACTTGTTTCTGCTTTTTCTAGAAGGTCCATGAGTGGAAGTATCCACTATAGACACATCTTTGAGCCTGGCTTCTTTCTTCTGGAAGAAGGCATCGAAAAGTTTTCCACCTGCGCCTCTCAAAGCCCCGTTGCTTTTCTCTTGCCCTTGCGCAGTTTGCTTGTCCTGCCACCGCTGAGGACATATGTGTTGTTTGCAGACTTGTAAGATCATGAAGAAAGCTGCTGGTGAGACTCACATAGAGCTTTTGTTTGAGCCTCAGTCTTCGCTTCCCTGTGTGTCCTTCGGAGAGGGGCTGCTAGATGGTTAAAGCGCATGCTTATCTGCATGAGAAGCTCTGAAGCTGGGTTCTGTGCGGCGGTGCCTTCTCACCAACACTGCCCGAGTGTTACATGCTCTCAGCATCCTCATCACACTCGCTGCTATCAGGAATCACTCTGACAGACGCGAGCTGGTGTCTCATTGGGATTTTAGCCTGTCGTTCCCTACCGACCTAAGACATTGGGCATCTTTTCAAGCGTCTGTGTCACAACATCTCCTCCTTGTCTCAAATCTGGTTAAATTTTTTGTCCTTCTAAAACTACTTCTAATCACAGTAAGTTTTTAAAAAAGATTTGTTTTTATTGGGAAGGCAGATTTACAGAGAGAAGGAGAGACAGAAAGAAAGCTCTTCCATCTGCTGGCTCATTCCCCAAGTGGCTGCAATAGCTGGAGCTGAGCTGTTCCAAAGCCAGGAGCCAAGAGATTCCTCTAAGTCTCCCACACAGGTGCATAGACCCAAGCACTTGAGCCATACTTCACTCCTTTCCAAGGCCATAAGCAGGGAACTGAATGGGAAGCAGAGCCACTGGAACAAACCAGTGCCCATATGGGCTGCCAGTGCTTGGAAATGGAGGATCAGACAAACTGAGCCATGGTGCCTACCCAAGTAGGTTGCTGGTTGCTTTTGTCTCATTTTGCTTTGTTTTTCTCTCATTTATTTTTATTTTATTTGAAAAGCAAAGAGATTGAGAGCAAGAGACTGCCAGAGAAACCCAAACAGCAGCAAGACCAGTGCTGGGTCAGGCCAAGCCAGTGCCAGGGGCTGAGTCAGGGCTCCCCGCGTGGGTGGCAGAGTGCACGCTCACAGGAAGCTACAACTGGAACTAAGCACCAGGAGCTGACAGGGTTCCCCACGTGGGTGGCAGGAGCCCAAGGCCTTGCCCTGGAATGTCTTAGAGTACGCACTCATGGCAAGCTACAACTGGAACCAAGACAGTATCTGAGCAGGAGCTCCAACTGGGGATGCAGGTGTCGCAAGCAGTGTCAACTGTTACATCAAACGCCCACACTATATGATTTCATGGATTAAAATTCGTTTCTTTAAATAATGCACAAATTCTCAGCCTGAGTAAAATAACAAAATCTGGCTCCATACTGTCAGAAAGAAATCAACATAATAACCGCAAAATCTTGAAACTAAAAGAACAAAGAAAGTTACAACAGACAAATACTAGCCACAAAAAAACCAGCTAATTATAACCACAGTGATTGACTTAACTAACTACAAAATCAAGATAAAAGATAATATTTGGTCTGAAAAGGTAATCAGCCGGTGAGCAACAATGCAGTGGGAACTGACAATACTGCAGGCGTACGTCACAGCCTCCGTTCCTACGAGTTCAAAAGGGACACGGTCACACACGAATGTGCCATCACCGTGAAAACTGAGAAACAAGCATGGCAATCGCACAAGAGACCGAACTTCACCATCAGCAATACGGTGAGCTGCACAAGTCGACTGCCCCGCATTGAACAACTAGAGAATACACGTTTTTGTAAGACAAATACAACCTCTGGGAAAATCCATCACGTGTAAGGCTGCAAAACAAATCTCCACAACTCAAAACAGGTGGTACTCAAACCAGCTGTTTGATGAAAATATGATAATAAAGATTCACAGTTGGAATCCTTAAGTAGCTTTTAAATTGTTGATAATTAAAGCACAATAAAAGTTAGAATTGGGTTTTGGTGGAAACATTAAAAAATCAAAATTTGTAGGATACGGCTAAAACAAAACACAGAAAATATCAAACATCTAAAAAGCAAAAAATGAGTCAACTAACATTACTTCAACATGTCAGAGATTATGCTTGGCAATGAAAGAATCTCAACTGAATTTGAACTGTGGTAATGCAACAAGGTGGAGAAATCCACCATGAGGGGGGGTTTGGGGAGGGGTGGGGGAATCCCAGTGCCTATAAAACTGTGTCACATAAAGCAATGTAATCAATTTAAAAAAATGTATATGGCTTTGGAAAAGGTTGAATGTATGGTAATAGGAATTGTCATTGCTATTTTTGCAAGTTTTTGTGAGCCAAACTACTTCAAAATAAAAACTATACACAAGGAAAAAATTTGTGTTAAAAAAAAAAGATGTCAGAGAAAGAATAGAAATCAGAGCAAATATATATTCTCTGAAATTAAGAATACAGCAATCCAACAAGCATAAGAAATAAAAAAGAGAGGCTCAAATAAAATAATTTTGGCAGTAAATGAAAAGGAAAAGTCTACAGATGCAATTGAGATGAAGCCAGATAAGGGGCTAGCATGAAGTTTTGCCATTCGCCAACCCTGTTTGTGAGTGGTCACTCTGAAATAGTAACTGCATTCCCCTCTGTGGGCAATCGCCCCTGGATCTCTGCCTGCTGCCTGGCGGGCGTGACCCACAGCCTACAGGCCCAGGACCTGAGGCACGGCCTCCCCCAGGCCAGCGGAACCTGACCTGTGACACAAGTGCAGGGTCCAAAGGGACAGACGTGCCTTCTAGCCAATTACAGTGTCACTGTTGGGTGGGAGGCTCCTCAGGACCGCCCTTCTGCCTTCCCCATTGCCTAGTCTGGGTAAGCTTGCACTCAGTTGACAGTAACCGGGCAAGTTCCACCAGACTAGCTCCGAGTCATGCTCTCCATCAGCATGAATAGCAAGAATCAACCAGGGCTGGCTTTGCAATGTTCTTACCTGCCAAATAATATTCTTGAGTATATACAAGTCCACTTCCAGAGCAGCCATAAATATAATTATAGGCAAAAAATAACAGAGAAGTGAAAAGCTCGGTGTCTTCAGAAGAGGATAGACAACTTGGTGTACCTGAAATGACAGAGGCAAATCAGAAATTAGCCGGCCACCATTTCAGGTACTGGTTACTATGCTGATGCTAAGTCAATCAGTTTAAAATGTAGACTATTCCGATTTGCAACTGAGAGGTTGTCTACAGTCAGTCCTGGAGACTCTGGCACACTGCATGATGGGTGACATGCATAGTCCTCTATTCACCAAAAAACTGAGTGATTCTTGGTTATACAAACTTTCCTTGCAGTATGTAGTCATCAATTTCAAATTGGCATGCCTATCACTGCTAATTTCTAAGATGATATTCAGTGATTCGCAAACTTGTTTAACCTGTGAGATACTTACGTCAGTGAGTTACATTTTATTTATGTTACATCGGGTTAAAACAAAAACCTGTACAGGTCTGAATACTTAGATAGCAGTGCAGTTTGTACATATAAGGCATATCATGAAGGCATCACACACATCAACAGAAAAAAAAACCAGAAAAATGATTGAATATTATAACTATTTTGTCTTTTAAAAATTTTATTTTGACCCAATCAGTTAACTTTTATTACCTAACCACTCTAGGATTCATTTGTCTGTCTGTGCTAATACAGTACGTAGTTCCATCGAGGTGCTAATGTGATAATACATTGATAAATACAAAGCAGATAAAACAGAGCCTGGCGTGGGGTCAACACAAGAATCCAGGAGTATCAGTCATATTTCCGGAGACTAAGAAAAGGCTTTCATAATCCTAGACTGCACAACATTGTTATCTCCACAAAAAAAGAAAAAAGAGGTCGTTTGGTGACAAAGAATTTGCGCACATTGCTATGCAATTGAAAACATTATTTTAAATTTTTAATTAAAAATCAAATAAGTGATTATAAATAAGCTGATAAATTAATCTTCAAGGGCCTATATTACATATTATATAATGCCTGTTTCGCATTTAATGCGGCAAAAAAGTGAAGTCAACATGAACAGTTATCTCTGATAACGAGGGCCTCCACAGTCCTGGACAGTAGCAGAGAAGCCAGTGGGCACACAGCAAGAAAGGGAAAGCAAGACTCCAAAGACAAGGAAGAACCCAAGCGCTGGGAAGCCTTCCTCACTGCAGGCGGACCCACACCTTCAGCCTTCCTAACTTATTCCTCCTTGAGCGTGTGATTTTTCTATTTTTAAGATTTTTAAGACCAGAAGAAGCTTATGCATTGCACTTCACATAAAAAAGTCCTCTACATAGGGAAGGTTGGCAGAGTCAGAGTTGCCCTTGTGTAGACCTATGTGCCTGAGTGTGTTCCCCGCTTCACAATACCTCAACCAGGTGGTAGGCCAGTTGTCCTATCACAAATCCAGCTAGGGACAGAATCGTCAGGACAATGACTTCAGAATTCCTTAAAAATATCCTCAAAATTCCTAAAAAAAAAAAAAAATACGTACAAGTGTTAAACACAATTTATAGTTTTAAAAATTATTCATTACTATTACTCCGTTTAATTGTAGCCTTCTTCTGGTCATTCATAAATGAATAATTAAAAAGTACTATAAATACTATCTCCTAATTATAAGTCACACAAAATGAGAAGCCTCTCACAGATGAACTTGAAGTTTCCAGTCTTCCATTTGTTCACCTAATGATACTTTAGGATCACCATATGGATTTCTTTTTCATTTTCCCCAAAAACAACTTTATAAAGAGGTCTGTGCCTTTGGTCAGTGGCACTGAGCCATGCCGTAAAGCGCCTGTGTGGTGGGGTACCCGAGTGTTACCACAAACATTGAGCTCTCAGCCTTGATGTAGGAGGCGCGAGGGAAGCCCCCTGCTCTAAGGAAGGGGGCCCATCCAGAAGGCTCAGCTGCCTCAATCTTTTATTGAAGTGCTTGGGGAGTCAAATTTCCAAACTTGATGTGACAGAAATTTGGTTGGCTACGCCCCCTATTGATGGTAACCATCCACTGCTGAACAATCAGGTCGCGAGTGTGACCCAAGCACAGAAGTGAACAGGTTCCCTTGCAGCACACAGCTCTGAGGCCGGGATCTTTGGCCAGCCGCGGATCCCAGCCCAAAGCCTTCAAGCATTGCTTTGGGTTCTGCCGAATCACGGACCACTGCCTGCAGTTTGACCTTGGTCTCCAGCACTGGTGGTCTGTGAACTCAGGATTCCAGGCACAGTGTGCCCTGCTCTTCCTTGTCACGCCACGCTCCATTTTCACATTTAGGAAAGGCCTGCACCTGCAGCTCCCCCTCGGTCTGTCTGCCCCGAGCATTCTCATCTCAGATGTTTTAATCAGGAAGGAAGTAGGAGCCTCTCCCCCTTCCTCATTCCCAGAGGACGCAGCTCACTGTATAGGTAGCTCCACATTGCGCAGGACCATGTGTGTGCCTGTCTCCCCAGGAGAGGCTCCAATGTGCCCACCACACTGCAGTGCTCAGAAAACGTTACTGGGCGAAGGAGCCAGGATAGGAGCTACTGGAATTCAGTGCAGCATTTAGTCACACCTTGATTCACTGGCACCTTCTCATGTAGCTGTAACTGCTTCCTGCACTGAGAGTGTTTAAGGGGGCAGAGGGGAAAAGCATTTACCAAACGTCCACCTACCTCCCACGGTGATGACGGAGCACACAAACATGGGGAAATGTCCCTTTCTGGCAAGGTAATCAGCTGATCTTCCACAAAGCAAGTCAGATCTGTTAGAAGCATTCATTTTTGCCACTTCTTCTCCAGTCCTGACTCGGTGGATTCTTATGTAGACTGACCTGTTACGACACGCCAGAAGAAATGAAACCTGCAAGGACCAGGACACGCACACTGTCTGAGGTGCTAGCACGCTTGCATATTGCGACATCTGCTCTTGTCCCAGAGCATGCAAGACCGCCTGTTGTCCCTCTGGCTCAGAGAACATTCTCTCAGGACACACATAAGGAAGTGGGGCGCGTATTGACTGCAGCACCTGTTATAACATGTTCTATTAGCTAATGTGCCTCCTTCCCCACGAGTTTCTCAGGGGCCAAGGGTGAACGTGAACTTTTCTTACGGCTATGCACGTGGCTTACAGTCAAGAAAGGCTTTCCATAAATGTGTAATGAGCTCAGCCCTTCGTGGGGGAAGGAGCAAGGATAAATGTCATATGCCTCATTTTCTAGAGCTACAAATCACTCTGTAATTTTTTCAAATCCAAAATGGCAAGTGAGAGTCAAGGTCAAAGTTGAGTCACACAACTTAGAGTGAGGAAGGAGGATGGGGGGAGTACCCTGAGAATACAAGGAAGGAGGATGGGGGAGTACCCTGAGAATACAAGGACCAAAGACCCACATGTTTCTGAGTGAGTTAGCAAGTCCCTTCCCTCAGAACAGTGAAATTTGATACCAAGGCACATGAGTTGCCATGTAACCAACAGGCTGGATTTTAGCTGTGCTCTTACCTGGTGCTCCTGTGTAGGACACAGCCTATGCAAACCTAAGTTAATTCACAGTTGAAATCAACATGAAGGCTCAAAACCCCAAAGATCAAAGTGCAGCTCTGTGTCAGTTTGCTGGCAACAGTCACCAACAGCTATCATGGCAAAGGCCATTTGCATGCTTACTTCCTATTGGCTTCTGCTCAACCTGCTCTCATTTTGATTGGTTACTTATGCAATCCCCACCCCCAGTCCAGAAGAAGTTAAGTTATAGGGAAGCTTGCCTTCTTCAGTGCCGAAATGGGGCACTGATTTCCTTTGCCTGACATAACAGTGGAAATGATAAAAGATGTTAATCAAGGACACAAAATCTATTTTATCTACCTACACAGTTGTTTCTGTATCCAGCTCAGCCCTTCAACACCAACCTGTCTCATTTTTCCACTTTTTCCACCTCTCCTTCCTGCGGTGTTTCTCATGAAAATCTTCCTCCTTAAATATTGGACTTTTCCCCTTCAATTTGAAATCAAATGCATGCCAGATTCTGTGATGCCTCATCTCTATTCACTGAAAACAAATACAACATAAACTTAAATAAGTAACTACTTACCCTCCATTTATAGGTTACTTTCAAGACAGTTGCTTCGAGACAATAAAACTGCACTCTTACTCTTGTACTCAGTAGTTCAGGTGTACGTCCTCTTCCCAGGGCACCGGAAGCAGTACCACTGCAACGAAGATGACCAAATCGGCCTTCTCCATCTCTATGTATTGGGGGACGTCCTAATTTCTATTTGAGATTCAAATTTCAAGCAGCTACTGTTAAGTCTTCCATCCACCGACTGTAATAAGCATCTTCAATGTCCACATGCTACACCTCAAAATGTTCTTTAAATCTTATTAGTACAGTTTGATACGGTCCTTCCAGGTTCCTCGGCTCAAAACTGCCATAAATGTCAAAACAAAAGGTTGTGTCATCGAAGTCTCTCTCCTAAGAGATCCGGCTCTTCCTCTTTGCCATGGCCTTAAGCAGCTGCCAGGCTCGTCACCCATGATCCCATCTTCATCTCCACCTTATGCAGATGACTTGTAACCTTGGCTTCCTGCCACATGCAATCTCTCCTCAGCTGCACTGCCTCGATATTTCAAATAATGAGGACCCAGATTCTACCTAGTTCATATCGTATTGTTGTTCCCATGGGCCTATTTGATTCACCCAAACCTTAACAGATAAGACTCCTGTAGCCTTAAGTTTCAAAATTCAGGTCCTCCACAGCTTTTAGAAAACTTCTCAAACATCAGCAAGACTCAGCCAGAATTCATAGAGTCCTCCTGTCTGCATGTGGTTCTGAAAGCTAGAGAGAGCATGTGACTGAAATGGAGAATGACCAAATCCCCATACAATACAGCCCTTACCATCAACCTCTAAAAATAAGGCAGGAAATTTGCATTTCACACCATTTTTGTAGAACCAGCTAAGATAGACTTTGGGGCTTTGGGGAGTTGAGGAAGGAGAGATTGTTCCATGTATTCCTCCAAGCCCCAATTACTAGTAATAGGTGTCTACTGTTTGCTTGTGAGAGGCACACCAGGTGCTGGGTTAATTAGTTTCCTTTCCCCCTCGTGCTATGATTGGGTCAAAGGTGGCCATGGGACCCATGATCGGCCAACTGGCTCTTCAGTTGGCTGTGTAGTGCATCCCCAGGCCATCTCCCGCTGTGTGAAACAAGTTCACCTGAAGTCAGGAAGGGTCTGGGAGGCTTCACCTCAGAGATTTCCAAGCTCTGAATCTGACAATTCCATCCTGGATTTTATCTTTTCCTCACAACCATTTCTCAATTTGAAAACTTTTCCCAATCTAGAGAGGCTAGAAATGAGAAGCAAGTTTCATTTTTTTCAGACCTAGTTGCTAAGTACTGGCTCCTTTGCTGTTCTTTGAAATCATATTTGATAGTTGAATTATGCCTGTCCAGCACACAGCTCTCCACTGTCAGCTGAAGCAGAGGACAGGTGGCATCTGAACACTGTGTCTGGAAATAGCAAGACCATTAAGTTCATTTCTCCAACAGCAGCATAGCCAAAATCGTCACTCTCTCTGATGAGGCCCTTTGCCTCCAACTTCCAATAACGGTTCCCTCCCTTCCCCGTTATCTCCCAGAGGCCCTCAGAGCCTCTGCTAAGATTCGAATAGAACGTCTGAGGCTTCCGTTCTCGCTCCTCTCTAGGCCTCTCCGGCTTCTGCCTACCGTGCCATCCCAAAGCCAATGCCACATATATCCTAGGTTTGGTTGCATGTGTGTCTCACTTCTTACATTTCTAAATGCGCACGTTGTAAGTTGCGGTATAACAACATACACACAAAATCAAGTAGCTCCAAACAGTAAGAATCGTTTATTTGGCTCACACATTGGCAGTTATGGCGGAGCTCCGGGAAGAAGGCCTGACTGTGCCCAAAGGGGCATCAGATGGGATGATGTGCCTGGGAGATTGGTTTTCAAGATGGCTTAGTTCTGTGGATAATCGCTGGCTGCAGCTGTGGACTAGCGCAGTGTTCTTCCCACATGGGTCTCTTGATGAGTTTGTTTCCAAGAGCTGACTATCTCAAGAAAATGAGGCAGAAGTTGCACCATGTTTCATTATCTGACTTTGCAAAAAACAGAACCACTTCCAGTATGGTCACAGACCTGTCCAGATTCAAGAGGAGAAGACAGAAACCCACTTCTCTATGGGGGGATTAAAATCCACCATAGGGCCCAGCGCAGTGGCCCAGCAGCTATAAAGTCCTCGCCATGAAAACATGCCCCTAGATCCCATATAGGCGCCAGTTCTAATATTGGCAGCCCCACTTCCCATCCAGCTCCCTGCTTGTGGCCTGGGAAAGCAGTCAAGGATGGCCCAAAACCCTGGAACCCCTGCACCTGCGTGGGAGACCCAGAAGAGGCTCCTGGCTCCTGACTTCAGACCAGCTTAGCTCCAGATATTGTGGCCACTTGGGGAGTGAACCAGAGGACAGAAGATCTCTCTTTTTGTCTAAATCTGATCTGCCTTTTCAATGACAATAATTTTTTTTTAAAAAAGTTTTGATGGTAGATCAGTACTAATCTGAGATAAATGTGCTACTGTGCATGGCAAAATGAGAATACATATATATGTATAAATATGACATAAAGATATGTGATAATGTCTAAGGTATTTCAATTTAAAGGGTAGAGCATTACATGGAGTTTATCTCTTTCTTTTCTGGCACCAAAATGTCTTTTCTTAGGATTTGTGTATTTTTGTATTTTTTTGAAAGGTAGAATGACACACAGAAACAATGCCGCTGCACTTCCCACATGACAACGACGGGGCTGGGCTGCGCGGAAGTCGAGAGCCTTGAACCCCACCAGGCCTCACACACATGTGGCAGAGACTCAGGTGCTTCAGCTATCATGTGCCACCTTCCCAGGCACATAGCAGGAACACAGACCAGAAGTGGACAGCTGGCACTCAAACTGGTATTCCAGTATCGGAAGCAGGTGTCCCAAGTGCTGGCTCAACTTGCCACACTGCAATGTCTGCCCATAAAATGTCCTTTAAACCATAGTGACAGGAGCTAGTTTTGTGTCATTTTAATCTTCTTTTCTCTATGCTTTTCTGATCGATTAATTAGGAAAGTCTAAAGAAACACTAGGTACATTTATCATAACACTGAATATAGCCTTTTAAATGACGTAGAGGATTTCTTAACTTACGGGTATGCACTTTTAAATGCAATTACTCTGTGAGCATTCAGAAAAAAGCCATGCAGGTCTATCTTAACTCTCCTGCGAATGTACTTAGAATCCAATGTCACAATGGCCAGCAACAAGTGATGTGTCTCTCAAAACACCCTAAAATTACAGATCTATAGCTAAAAATAAACGTTGAGATCCTCCCATTAAAGGAATCTTTAGTGAGAACCAGGAATCTCTTCATGACCATGAAGTTCATTTGCCTGAAGATGAATGTACTTCAAGATGAAAGCTTAGGAACGGCAGGTTACAAGTTCTCGTGTTCGATGTGTGTGCAACTTTTCAGCTGCAAGAACTAGAGTTGAAATGGCACCCTGGCACAAGCAAGATACGGAGAAAGATTTGGAAGCCGTTTTTTAAAAGATGAACAAGTTCTATAAATAAATGAAAGGTTATTCAGTTCTGAGGTTGAAACAGTTCTAAAAGAGAATTCATTAAACTACTGTTTACTGACTTAAATCTCTCCACCGATTATTTGGGTATGAGGAAGAATAGGGAAAAACCCCATACCAACAAAACGCTCATAATTGTTGTGGGAAGACAGGCATGCAAGAAATTAAGTAA